TACAGGAAACATCCGCACTGAGCTAAAGGGTAGAGCTGCCGCTTTCAAGGAACGGGACTCTAACCCGGACGCTTATAAGAAATCCCGCTATGACCTCCGACGAACCATCAAACAGGCAAAGAGTCAATACAGGTCTAAGATTGAATCATACTACACTGGCTCTGACGCTCCTCGGATGTGGCAGGGCTTGAAAACTATTACAGACTACAAAGGGAAGCACAGCCGCGAGCTGCCCAGTGACACAAGCCTACCAGACGAGCTAAACCACTTCTATGCTCGCTTCGAGGCAACTAACACTGAAGCATGCATGAGAGCACCAGCTGTTCCGGATGACTATGTGATCACGCTCTCCGTAGCCGATGTGAGTAAGACTTTTAAGCAGGTCAACATTCACAAGGCCGCAGGGCCAGACGGATTACCAGGACGTGTACTCCGAGCATGTGCTGACCAACTGGCAAGTGTCTTCACTGACATTTTCAACATGTCCCTGACTGAGTCTGTAATACCAACATGTTTCAAGCAGACCACCATAGTCCCCGTGCCCAAGAACTCTAAGATAACCTGCCTAAATGACTACCGACCCGTAGCACTGACGTCTGTAGCCATGAAGTGCTTTGAAAGACTGGTCATGGCTCACATCAACAGCATAATCCCAGAAACCCTAGACCCACTCCAATTTGCATACCGCCCCAACAGATCCACAGAGGATGCAATCTCTATCGCACTCCACACTGCCCTTTCCCACCTGGACAAGAGGAACACCTACGTGAGAATGCTATTCATTGACTACAGCTCAGCGTTCAACACCATAGTGCCCTCTAAGCTCATCACTAAGCTAAGGATCCTGGGACTAAACACCTCCCTCTGCAACTGGATCCTGGACTTCCTGACGGGCCGCCCCCAGGTGGTAAGGGTAGGTAACAACACATCTGCCACACTGATCCTCAACACGGGGGCCCCTCAGGGGTGCGTGCTCAGCACTGATCCTGTACTCTCTGTTCACCCATGACTGCATGGCCAGACACGACTCCAACACCATCATTAAGTTTTCCGACGACACAACAGTGGTAGGCCTGATCACCGACAACGATGAGACAGCCTATAGGGAGGAGGTCAGAGATCTGGCCGTGTGGTGCCAGGACAACAACCTCTCCCTCAACGTGACCAAGACAAAGGAGATGATTGTGGACTACAGGAAAAAAAAGAGGACTGAGCACGCCCCCATTCTCATCGACGGGGCTGTAGTGGAACAGGTTGAAAGCTTCAAGTTCCTTGGTGTCCACATCACCAACAAACTATCATGGTCCAAACACACCAAGACAGTCGTGAAGAGGGCACGATAAAGCCTATTCCCCCTCAGGAGACTAAAAAGATTTGGCATGGGTCCTCAGATCCTCAAAAAATTCTACAGCTGCACCATCGAGAGCATCCTGACTGGTTGCATCACCGCCTGGTATGGCAACTGCTTGGCCTCTGACCGCAAGGCACTACAGAGGGTAGTGCGTACGGCCCAGTACATCACTGGGGCAAAGCTCCCTGCCATCCAGGACCTCTATACCAGGCGGTTTCAGAGGAAGGCCCTCAAAATTGTCAAAGACTCCAGCCACCCTAGTCATAGACTGTTCTCTCTGCTACCGCACGGCAAGCGGTACCGGAGTGCCAAGTCTAGGTCCAAAAGACTTCTCAACAGCTTCTACCCCCAAGCCATAAGACTCCTGAACAGCTAATCATGGCTACCCGGACTATTTGCACTGCCCCCCCACCCCATCCTTTTTACGCTGCTGCTACTCTGTTAAGTATTTATGCATAGTCACTTTAACTCTACCCACATGTACATATTACCTCAACTACCTCAACTAGCCGGTGCCCCCGCACATTGACTCTGCACCGGTACCCCCCTGTATATATAGCCTCCCTACTGTCACTTTATTTTACATCTGCTCTTTTTTTCTCAACACTTTTTTGTTGTTGTTGTTTTATTCTTACTTTTTTTGTTTAAAATAAATGCACTGTTGGTTAAGTGCTGTAAGTAAGCATTTCACTGTAATGTCTGCACCTGTTGTATTCGGCGCATGTGACCAATAAAATTTGATTTGATTTGATTTGATTTGATTTGAAAGTGGTTCACCTTTTAGCCAGGTACATTTACATGGCAACGAATCCTTCAGAACTAACCTGCTCCGGGCCAGGCTAACTCAGGGCTAACTCAGGGCTAACTCAGGGCTAACTCAGGGCTAACTCAGGGCTAACTCAGGGCTAACTCAGGGCTAACTCAGGGCTAACTCAGGGCTAACTCAGGGCTAACTCAGGGCTAACTCCATCTCCTTTAACAGCTCCGGGATGAAATGACTGAGCCGTGAGTTGAGGACCAATGAAATGACTGAGCCGTGAGTTGAGGACCAATGAAATGACTGAGCCGTGAGTTGAGGACCAATGAAATGACTGAGCCGTGAGTTGAGGACCAATGAAATGACTGAGCCGTGAGTTGAGGACCAATGAAATGACTGAGCCGTGAGTTGAGGACCAATGAAATGACTGAGCCGTGAGTTGAGGACCAATGAAATGACTGAGCCGTGAGTTGAGGACCAATGAAATGACTGAGCCGTGAGTTGAGGACCAATGAAATGACTGAGCCGTGAGTTGAGGACCAATGAAATGACTGAGCCGTGAGTTGAGGACCAATGAAATCAGATTCCCTTCCTCTTGCAAAGATTGCATCATCATCTCCTTCTTTAGAGGAAGATGACTGATTAAATATTCTATTAATCAAAAAAAGTTTGTGTGTTAAAAAATAGTAATGTTAAAATATATCACATTACACATTTACACATTTTAAACTAAACGCAATGTAGCACTTCTGTATGACTTAATACAACATACAATAGGAGTTGGAAAAAAGGTGCATATGTATGTATGTGTTTATGTATGTGTGTATGTATGTGTGTATATGTGTATATATATATATGTATGTGTATATATATATATATATATATATATATATATATATATATATATATATATATATATATATATGTATATGTATATACAGTGAGGGAAAAAAGTATTTGATCCCCTGCTGATTTTGTACATTTGCCCACTGACAAAGACATGATCAGTCTATAATTTTAATGGTAGGTTTATTTGAACAGTTAGAGACAGAATAACTTCAAAATAATCCAGAAAAACGCATGTCTGTTTTCAGCAGCTGGTATTTTTGAATTCGGTTGTCATATTGGCAGGTTTGCTAGCAACAAACTATTTAGCTAGCTTCTAGCCTAATGTTTGATATGCAATCTCCTCGTAATGAACAGTGTCGAGTGTCCTGACGAGAAGGCACATTTTTCTAGCTATGCCAGGCATCATCAGGCCATTACTATGGATTTATATAATATATAATATAATATGCCATTTAGCAGACGCTTTTATCCAAAGCGACTTACAGTCATGCGTGCATACATTTTTTATTTTTTGTGTATGGGTGGTCCCGGGGATCGAACCCACTACCTTGGCGTTACAAGCGCCGTGCTCTACCAGCTGAGCTACAGAAAACAGCTTAAACAAATGCCAATGCAGCTACTTTGCTGTTTTCTGGCGGCAGAAGGTCAGAGGTCGTGCCTGTGTTAGCTGTAGCTAGTTGGCTAGCTAGCAAGCGAGAGACAAGAATGTTGTCAGAGAGCTTGGCAACGGAGTATATACACAGAACAGAAATATAAACGCAACATGCAACAATTTCAAAGATTTTACTGAGTTAATGTTCACATAAGGAAATCAGTCAATTGAAATAAATTCATTAGACCCTAATCTATGGATTTGTCATGACTGGGAATACAGATATGCATCTGTTGGTCACAGATACCTTAAAAAAAGGTAGGGGTGTGGATCAGAAAACCAGTCAGTATCTGGTGTGACGAACATTTGCCTCATGCAGCGTGACATCTCCTTCGCATAGAGTTGCTCAGGCTGTTGATTGTGGACTGTAGTACACCTTGATCCAGAGCATTCCAAACATGCTCAATTGGTGACATATCTGGTGGGTATGCAGGTCATGAAAGAACTTGGACATTTTCAGCTTCCAGGATCCTTGCGACATGGGGCCGTTCATTATCATGCTGAAACATGAGGTACGACAATGGGCCTCAGGATCTCGTCACAGTATCTCTATGCATTCAAATTGCCATCGATAAAATGCATTTGTGTACGTTGTCCATAGATTATGCCTGCCCATACCATAACCCCACCGCCACCATGGGGCACTCTGTTCACAACGTTGACATCAGCAAACCGCTCGCCCACACAACGCCATACTGCCCTGTGCAGTTGAAACCATGAATAGCACACTTCTCCAGCATGCCAGTGGCCATTGAAGGTGAGCGTTTGCCCACTGAAGTCGGTTATGATGCCGAACTGCAGTCAGGTCAAGACCCTGGTGAGGACGACGAGCACGCAGATGAGTTTCCCTGAGATGGTTTCTAACAGTTTGTGCTGAAATTCTGCCGTTGTGCAAACCCACAGTTTCATCAGCTGTCCGGGTAGCTGGTCTCAGATGATCCTGCAGGTGAAGAAGCCGGATGTGGAGGTCCTGGGCTGGCGTGGTCACACGTGGTCTGCGATTGTGAGGCCGGTTGGACGTACTGCCAAATTCTCTAAAATGACATTGAAGGCGGCTTCTGATAGAGAAATTAACATTCAATTATCTGGCAACAGCTCTGGTAGACATTCCTGCAGTCAGCATGCCAATTCCACGCTCCTTCAAAACTTGAGATTTCAGTGGCATTGTGTTGTGTGACAAAACTGCACATTTTAGATATTTTATTTCAGCTCATGAAACATGGGACCAACACTTTACATGTTACGTTTGTATTTTTGTTCAGTGTAGAATGAACAACTGGGTCGCGTCCATAAATATCGAACTAATCGAATGAACAACTGGGTCAGGTCTCTAACAACCAAAAGATGAAAAGTATGATTTAAAAAAAATATTATGCCGGTAAATGTGGGCTTTAGTATTGTTTTCTTTGGTAATTGTGGTAAAGTGGCTCGGCGGCTGCGTCGTTCATTATCTCCAAGGTAATGTAGAGAACGGAGGTCATGGAGCACTTAACAAACCAGGAGATAATGCAGTGTACAACAACACAGATAAACTGTCTTTCATTAGAACACCACTTTACACACTGAAAGGCAACGATTGCTCCCCCTCCACACTCCCATCATCACAATTAGTCCCAATAAGGAGGATATCTCTGACATGACAGCGGTATCTCTGGGCTCTGTTAGTCAGATCCCCCAAAGAAACGCAAGGAAGAGACTCCGAACAGAAGTGACAAAAAAAAAAGCAGAAAGAAAAAGAACGAAAAAGACACGAGCACCTGCCCACACAAGCGAACCACTCCGCCCCCTCCAGTATAAAAACCATAATCACACGCATCGCTAACCGCACCATATAAATACATCCTCCCTCTCACATCCACATCCATCTAACACCGGCCTCCCCCTCCATACTCACCTCCCCTATCCCCCTCCATTCATCACCCCCACTCCCCTCCTCCCCCTCCTCCCCCTCCCTCTCACCCCCTCCCGAAGGTCCCCGGTACCAGATGAAAACATTAATGGAAGTATACTGCAATGACTTAAAAATCATATAATGTGATTTTTTTGATTTTTGTTTTAGATTCCGTCTCTCACAGTTGAAGTGTACCTATGATAAAAATGACAGACCTCTACATGCTTTGTAAGTAGGAAAACCTGCAAAATCGGCAGCGTATCAAATACTTGTTCTCCCCACTGTACCTAACACAGCCACATTTCTCTTAGGGTCCCCAAAAGGCCCGAACCGGTCCTGTCTCTATAGATCAGCCAGAGCCGGTCCTGTCTCTACAGATCAGCCAGAGCCGGTCCTGTCTCTATAGATCAGCCAGAGCCGGTCCTGTCTCTATAGATCAGCCAGAGTTGGTCCTGTCTCTATAGATCAGCCCGAGCCGGTCCTGTCTCTATAGATCAGCCAGAGCCGGTCCTGTCTCTATAGATCAGCCAGAGCCGGTCCTGTCTCTATAGATCAGCCAGAGCCGGTCCTGTCTCTATAGATCAGCCAGAGCCGGTCCTGTCTCTATAGATCAGCCCGAGCCGGTCCTGTCTCTATAGATCAGCCAGAGCCGGTCCTGTCTCTATAGATCAGCCAGAGCCGGTCCTGTCTCTATAGATCAGCCAGAGCCGGTCCTGTCTCTATAGATCAGCCAGAGCCGGTCCTGTCTCTATAGATCAGCCAGAGCCGGTCCTGTCTCTATAGATCAGCCAGAGCCGGTCCTGTCTCTATAGATCAGCCAGATGAACAGACTGACGGTGGGACACTCTCCATCTCTACAGAACAACCAGATAAAACAGACCAGTACTTTGTACTGATCTGATTTGTACAAACATCATGGTGACCAATGCCCATTCCTCTGGCTTCAAAGCAGCAATTTATCCTGCTACTTAGTCAACCACTGAACTAAATTAGAATAGCAGATCTTATAGTCTAACAAATCAAATGACCGCTTTGTAAAGAACTCTCTTTACTCACACGTGACACGTGAGACTTGTTTGGGGCAGAGCCATATCTGTGACATGCATTTGGGCTCATTGCTGTCATAAATGTGGAAGTCATAAATATCTTCGCTTCATCCCAAATGCCCTGGTCTAAAGCAGTGCACTAGATAGGGGAATAGGGTGCCATTTGGCTATGGGCTCTGGTCTAAAGTAGTGCACTAGATAGGGAATAGGGTGCCATTTGGCTATGGGCTCTGGTCTAAAGTAGTGCACTAGATAGGGAATAGGGTGCCATTTGGCTATGGGCTCTGGTCTAAAGTAGTGCACTAGATAGGGAATAGGGTGCCATTTGGCTATGGGTCCTGGTCTAAAGTAGTGCACTAGATAGGGAATAGGGTGCCATTTGGGACTCAGATCTTATCTATTTTCATCACATTGGAATAGGCGCCATTAACAGGCTTTGAAGTGATAAATGAATCACCTTGAAATCAAAAGCCCTCTTCTTTAACCATGAGAAAATAAAGCTTTATGACTTTAAGGTCAAAATCCTCCACACACAGGAGATCAGGCAGAAAGCGATATCTGTGACGGGATAAGCCTTTCTCTACTAACAGCAATAACTTTGCAATAAAACAGCAGACAAAGATCTGATTAGACTACGTCCCAGTTGGAAACAGCACAACCTTGATATTGCCCCAGCACAACACTGCCCAGTAACCAGCCCTGCAACCAGAAATGTAAATTAAGTTGTTTTATTACAGTTGAAGTAATACAATCACTACCTTTTGCGCCATTTCTTTCATAGCCACGCCTTCAATTTTCATTGAATCAATAAATATGTGTTATTCTACACTAGTAAACCAATCCATCAGGGTTTGAAAAGCAAATGGGGGAAATTGCATTTAGAATTTCAGTTTTCTTCCTGAATCAACTGAACTGAAATGCGTTTGACCCTGAGACCAACGTGACCTTGAAGGTGAAACTGAACAATGTCATGAATCACCTGCAGAGGAACTAGAGGAAATTCACCTGTTCAACGCCTAGCAACAGTCGCTCACGGAGATATAATGATGACCAAAAGAAAGCACTCATCCTCACGTGCCTTTCACACTGTGCAATTAGGAATGGCTTCGTTAAAAGACAGTACAAAAATATAAAATAAAATATTGCGTCTAGTGTTAGAAAGATAATATTATTCCCCTAGAGTTTGGTAACAAAAGCCAGCTGTTCTTTCAACCTACAGAGAGGAGATGGTACGAGCCACTACAGATCATCCACTGGGTTCAGCTTGAGCGGATAGTCAGGGGACCAGAACATAATTACTAATCATTTGTAGACTTTTGGCAAGAAGCCCAAACAGATATATAACGTTTGACTAAGATAATCATTTCAAACCTTGCTTACGTTTGTATATACGATCACATACACTGCATTCGGAAAGTATTCAGACCATTTACATTTTTCCACATTTTATTACATTACAGCCTTATTCTAAAATTGATTCAATTGTTGTTGTTTTTCTCATCAATCTACACACAATACCCCATAATGACAAAGCAAGTACAGGTTTTAGAACATTTTGCAAATGTATTAAAAATAAAAAACGGAAATATTCTATTTACATAAGTATTCAGACCCTTTACTCAGTACTTTGTTGAAGCACCTTTGGCAGCAATTACAGCCTTGAGTCTTCTTGGGTATGACGCTACAAGCTTGGCACACCTGTATTTGGGGAGTTTCTCCCATTCTTCTCTGCAGATCCTCTCAAGCTCTGTCAGGTTGGATGGGGAGCGTCGCTCCAGAGATGTTCGATCGGGTTCAAGTCCGGGCTCTGGCTGGGCCACTCAAGGACATTCAGAGACTTGTCTTGGCTGTGTGCTTAGGTTTGTTGTCCTGTTGGAAGGTGAAATGCCACAGTTCTCAGAAGTGTTACTTGATAAATGCTGCTCCAGGCACAACTGCTTTGTAAATAGCATGTTAACATTGGCTAAGAAGATGCGTTGGTCAATAAAAGGTAACCTTTACATAGCTAATTACAATAGCTAATGTGGTTAACAAGTAGAAGTGTATTTATTAAAGTATACTTGAAACACATTATAAATACACTTATTTGTAAAGAAAATACAGGAATTTTAATTCAAATACCATTTCTAGTATATTTCTAATATACATCAAATGTAGTTAAGGTGTATTCAAAGTATATTTATTTTGCTCTTTATCTAATATACAAAGAATTAACTTAATTTAGATAACTTGAAATGTATTTAATATACTTAAATGCTAATAAAAAACAAATAAAATGGACATTAAGTGCATTAAATATACTTGATAATTAAGTATGATTTAAGTATATTGAAATATTAAATATTTTTCCGCTTGGGATAGGGCCAGGTTGCTACTTAGAGTAACTTTAATGTTTTGGTTTTTTCAAATTGAAAACCAGATGTTTTAGACTTAGTTATAGAGAAACACGCCATTCTGGTCTTCATTTTGACAGTTTGTTGCAAAAGTGATATATTTCGTATTTTAGTATTTTAAATCTAGCTCTTTTTGCCGCTAGTGGTTCAACACTACCAATGAAATCTACGTCATCTCAAGGGAGGGGTTCGGTATGAAATACACTCGTGGAGTGTGTCCCCTGTATAGAGTATAGCCTCATTATTGTTATTTTATTGTGTTACTTTTTTATTTTTTATTTTGTATATTTAAAAAAATTATTTTCTTACTTTAAAAAAAAAATGCATTGTTGGTTAAGGGCTCGTAAGCAAGCATTTCACGGTAAGGTTGTATTGTCACCTGTTGTATTCGGCGCGTGTGACAAATACAATTTTATTTGATAAATGCATTTCTATGGCTTCCAAAATATTTTTTACAATGGTGGGGAAGTGCTAAGATGGAGGATCGGTGGCTTCAACACAGCGCCCCCTAGCTTCCATCTAGTGTATTTATAAAATAATTGGATTAAAATGTTTTGGACCTGTGAAGACCTCTACTTGAGGCCCAACATAACAATCCCTGTCACCACAGACAGTAACACTGTGAAGGCTGTCACAACAGACAGGAACACTGTGAAGGCTGTCACCACAGACAGGAACACTGTGAAGGCTGTCACAACAGACAGGAACACTGTGAAGGCTGTCACAACAGACAGGAACACTGTGAAGGCTATCACAACAGACAGGAACACTGTGAAGGCTGTCACCACAGACAGGAACACTGTGAAGGCTGTCACAACAGACAGGAACACTGTGAAGGCTGTCACCACAGACAGGAACACTGTGAAGGCTGTCACAACAGATAGGAACACTGTGAAGGCTGCCACAGCAGACAGGAACACTGTGAAGGCTGTCACCACAGACAGGAACACTGTGAAGTCTGTCACAACAGACAGGAACACTGTGAAGGCTGTCACAACAGACAGGAACACTGTGAAGGCTGCCACAACAGACAGGAACACTGTGAAGGCTGTCACCACAGACAGGAACACTGTGAAGGCTGTCACAACAGACAGGAACACTGTGAAGGCTGTCACAACAGACAGGAACACTGTGAAGGCTGTCACCACAGACAGGAACACTGTGAAGGCTGTCACCACAGACAGGAACACTGTGAAGGCTGTCACAACAGACAGGAACACTGTGAAGGCTGTCACAACAGACAGGAACACTTTGAAGGCTGCCACAACAGACAGTAACACTGTGAAGGCTGTCACAACAGACAGGAACACTGTGAAGGCTGCCACAACAGACAGGAACACTGTGAAGGCTGTCACCAAAGACAGGAACACTGTGAAGGCTGTCACAACAGACAGGAACACTGTGACGGCTATCACAACAGACAGGAACACTGTGAAGGCTGTCACCACAGACAGGAACACTGTGAAGGCTGTCACAACAGACAGGAACACTGTGAAGGCTGTCACCACAGACAGGAACACTGTGAAGGCTGTCACAACAGACAGGAACATTGTGAAGGCTGTCACAACAGACAGGAACACTGTGAAGGCTGTCACAACAGACAGGAACACTGTGAAGGCTGTCACCACAGACAGGAACACTGTGAAGGCTGTCACAACAGATAGGAACACTGTGAAGGCTGCCACAGCAGACAGGAACACTGTGAAGGCTGTCACCACAGACAGGAACACTGTGAAGTCTGTCACAACAGACAGGAACACTGTGAAGGCTGTCACAACAGACAGAAACACTGTGAAGGCTGCCACAACAGACAGGAACACTGTGAAGGCTGTCACAACAGACAGGAACACTGTGAAGGCTGTCACAACAGACAGGAACACTGTGAAGGCTGTCACAACAGACATGAAACTGTGAAGGCTGTCACCACAGACAGGAACACTGTGAAGGCTGTCACAACAGACAGGAACACTGTGAAGGCTCTCACAACAAACAGGAACACTGTGAAGGCTGTCACAACAGACAGGAACACTGTGAAGGCTGTCAAAACAGACAGGAACACTGTAAAGGCTGCCACAACAGACAGGAACACTGTGAAGGCTGTCACATCAGACAGGAACACTGTGAAGGCTGTCACAACAGACAGGAACACTGTGAAGGCTGCCACAACAGACAGGAACACTGTGAAGGCTGTCACAACAGACAGGAACACTGTGAAGAATGCCACAACAGACAGGAACACTGTGAAGGCTGTCACAACAGACAGGAACACTGTGAAGGCTGTCACTAAAGACAGGAACACTGTGAAGGCTGTCACCACAGACAGGAACACTGTGAAGGCTGTCACCACAGACAGGAACACTGTGAAGGCTGTCACAACAGACAGGAGCACTGTGAAGGCTTTCACCACAACAGACAGGAACACTGTGAAGGCTGTCACAACAGACAGGAACACTGTGAAGGCTGTCACCACAGACAGGAACACTGTGAAGGCTGTCACAACAGACAGGAACATTGTGAAGGCTGTCACAACAGACAGGAACACTGTGAAGGCTGTCACAACAGACAGGAACACTGTGAAGGCTGTCACCACAGACAGGAACACTGTGAAGGCTGTCACCACAGACAGGAACACTGTGAAGGCTGCCACAACAGACAGGAACACTGTGAAGGCTATCACCACAGACAGGAACACTGTGTAGGCTGTCACAACAGACAGGAACACTGTGAAGGCTGTCACCACAGACAGGAACACTGTGAAGGCTGTCACAACAGACAGGAACACTGTGAAGGCTGTCACCACAGACACGAACACTGTGAAGGCTGTCACCACAGACAGGAACACTGTGAAGGCTTTCACAACAGACAGGAACACTGTGAAGGCTGTCACAACAGACAGGAACACTGTGAAGGCTGTCACAACAGACAGGAACAATGTGAAGGCTGTCACAACAGACAGGAACACTGTGAAGGCTGCCACAACAGACAGGAACACTGTGAAGGCTGTCACCACAGACAGGAACACTGTGAAGGCTGTCACCACAGACAGGAACACTGTGAAGGCTGTCACCACAGACAGGAACACTGTGAAGGCTGTCACAACAGACAGGAACACTGTGAAGGCTGTCACAACAGACAGGAACACTGTGAAGGCTGTCACAACAGACAGGAACACTGTGAAGGCTGCCACCACAGACAGGAACACTGTGAAGGCTGTCACAACAGACAGGAACACTGTAAAGGCTGTCACAACAGACAGGAACACTGTGAAGGCTGTCACAACAGACAGGAACACTGTGAAGGCTGTCACAACAGACAGGAACACTGTGAAGGCTGTCACCACAGACAGGAACACTGTGAAGGCTGTCACCACAGATAGGAACACTGTGAAGGCTGCCACAACAGACAGGAACACTGTGAAGGCTGTCACAACAGACAGGAACACTGTGAAGGCTGCCACAACAGACAGGAACACTGTGAAGGCTGTCACAACAGACAGGAACACTGTGAAGGCTGCCACAACAGACAGGAACACTGTGAAGGCTGTCACCACAGACAGGAACACTGTGAAGGCTGTCAACACAGACAGGAACACTGTGAAGGCTGTCACCACAGACAGGAACACTGTGAAGGCTGTCACAACAGACAGGAACACTGTGAAGGCTGTCACAACAGACAGGAACACTGTGAAGGCTGCCACAACAGACAGGAACACTGTGAAGGCTGTCACAACAGACAGGAACACTGTGAAGGCTGCCACAACAGACAGGAACACTGTGAAGGCTGTCACCACAGACAGGAACACTGTGAAGGCTGTCAACACAGACAGGAACACTGTGAAGGCTGTCACCACAGACAGGAACACTGTGAAGGCTGTCACAACAGACAGGAACACTGTGAAGGCTGTCACAACAGACAGGAACACTGTGAAGGCTGTCACAACAGACAGGAACACTGTTAAGGCTGTCACAACAGACAGGAACACTGTGAAGGCTGTCACAACAGACAGGAACACTGTGAAGACTGTCACCACAGACAGGAACACTGTGAAGGCTGTCACCACAGACAGGAACACTGTGAAGGCTGTCACAGAAGCTGGACTTGGGCCACCAATAGGGTGCTTTTAACTTGCTTGCGTCTTTTCCCAAATAAATAAATAATAACTACAGTAACTGTTAGCGTTTCATTTTCCCGCTGTACCAAAATGTGACCACAAAACCGCAATACGTACCGAACCGTGGGTTTGGTGAACGGTTACACCCCTAATGCTTTCGGATGAAAAGACTGCTCACACGTTAGACACAACACACTATCACAGCTCCCTAAACACGTCAGACAACACACTATCACAGCTCCCCAAACACGTCAGACAACACACTATCACAGCTCCCCAAACACGTCAGACAACACAGTATCACAGCTCCCCAAACACATCAGACAACACACTATCACAGCTCCCTAAACACGTCAGACAACACACTATCACAGCTCCCCAAACACGTCAGACAACACACTATCACAGCTCCCCAAACACGTCAGACAACACACTATCACAGCTCCCCAAACACGTCAGACAACACACTATCACAGCTCCCCAAACACGTCAGACAACACACTATCACAGCTCCCCAAACACGTCAGACAACACACTATCACAGCTCCCCAAACACGTCAGACCTCCCCAAACACGTCAGACAACACACTATCACAGCTCCCCAAACAAGGCTTTGAATTTAACAAGATCAAATCAACAACCAAACACAAAATAAACGATTGAATTCCCACTGAAATGTTGTTACGTATGCATCATGTGAGGGCTTTACAGCAAACAGCATGGAGTGAATACACAAGGCAACAACAGAGGAGAATAAGCTGGCTGGATGCCAACCTGCTCTGGTGCCAGCAACACATCTACTGGGTTCTACCTGTGAGATTTACTTTGGTTTCAACCGGGGAAATAATGTCAATGTTTGCAATAATGCAAATGTATCAGCCAAAACACTATTTGGAACTGGAAGCAGAGGAAATCTGGAAGCCGAGTATAAGCTTATGGATTAATTTGTCAACGTATTACAGTTTTTTTTCGATTGCTAACAAGCATTGTTCAATATAGCGGATACATGTTCAAAACTCTAAATACAGTTATCAAAACAACATGCAACTTGGCAATGCACATCCTACATGTCTCAAAAGCAAATCTTTCTACCAAATGAAAGCTAACAGTCTCTCACAACATGCACACTGTGTCATCCATAGGATCATTACCTACAAAACTCTAAAAACATATACCACTTGAAAATGTGTCAATTTGTCTTTAATATTATATATTTTTAGATGAACCAGCAGTCATTTTTACAAAAGAAGACTGGCAAACCTGTACTGTATAGAATGTCCTGCAAGATATGTAAAGAAACAAAGCAGAAAGGCTGCAATATGCTTCAATACAATTTACTGTATTTTTGCAAATTACTGTATTTAGCTTTTTGCAGAGTAATTCCAAAATACACAAAAATAAATAATTCCGGCACTGTTAAACAAACAAAAAGTGTACACACACTATGAATATTCATAGCATATTGTCCAAATGAAACAGATACATAACAATGCTAGTCAACCCCGTCTGCTGCATTGGGACACAAGTTCTCGTCCACATCACACCGTGTGGCCTCTCGCGCAACACACCTGGGAAAGAATCTCTTTGCACGCCCGATCCATCCCTGGCAATCTTCTGCAGAGATATCCAGGCATTCATTGCATCCAACAGTGACATTTGATCATGTGGATGGTGGTCATAAACTTTCCACCTCCATGAGGAAAATCATTATTCTATGGGGTTGAGGAAGGGAGAGTAAGGGGGGGGAGGAAAAGTGACACCATCCTGGGATGGGCTGCAAACCACTCTGTGACTGCATGGTGAAATGCCACATTGTCCCATACAATCACCCAGGTTTCCATATTTATTCTGACTTGCCCTCTCTCTTCACCTGGCGAAAGCCTTCCATAGAGGTCATCCATGAATGAAGGTGTTATATGGCCCAATTAGTGGTTTATGTAACAGCAGATCCTTCAGAGGATATTGCGGCACACTCCGGCCCGGGACATTCACTGTTGCTCTTTTCCCAGTCACATTCCTTCCACGTCGGCGTGTTTTGGCCATGTTAAAAACCAGCCTCATCCACAAAGACGAACATGTGGGGTGTTGGCCTGGCTTCAAGCTCCACGACGCTCTAAAATATTGTAAATCCACAGGGGCAACATAACAGTTATTCTATAACAGTAGTTTACATTACAGTATACTGTAACTGAGAATCACTGCTGAGTGTGCAGTGCTCTGGGGGGTTTTCTTTACAGTAAAAACAGTCCTGTATTACAGGATATAGACATCTTACCTCTCAATACAGAGACCCCCGGCCAGGATATCATCCATCACCAGCCTGGAAAACCAGTTGGTCACGGCTCAGCGGGAAAACCCTCCCTGAACACCAATAGATAACCACTGAAATGAAAAGCCCTCGTAAGAAGTGATAAATCTCACTAATGTATTGGAGTGTGTTTTTACAGCCTGGGTGTGTGCTGTGTCTCAACAACAGAAACAGGCTTCATTAAGACAGCTGAAAGCCCCCTGGAAACTGGTAACACTGGCTACACAAGTGGTCTTACCAGATTCATACAGGAACAATATGTACTGGGTCTTACCAGATTCATACAGGATAAAGAAGTACTGGGTCTTACCAGATTCATACAGGAGCAATATGTACTGGGTCTTACCAGATTCATACAGGATAAAGAAGTACTGGGTCTTACCAGCTTCATACATGAGCAATATGTACTGGGTCTTAGTATGGCTTATGGTTGCTGTGAGGCCATTAATTGGCAACAACCTCCCACATACGTTTGAATCCTGTACTATGGCTGCAAGCGAACAATAATTTTTGTCACAAAGCAAATAATAATTAAAGAGTCGCTTATTTTCATCTGGAATGAGTTGATCTGAAATAGCCGCTCTACAGCATCATCTCTCATCACCCCCCAGAGATCTCACAACAATTATGGTTTCTGCTATTGGAGTTACAAAATATTTTGATGAGGAAGAACAAATGTATTGTTATTTATCACTGAATCACATAGCCTTACACTGGCCTACAATTGATTCGCTTTCCAGAATACACAAGGTCAACACTCTGAAATCATGTTTCTGATTAAACAGAAAACACTTTGCCAAAGCACTACAGACACCAAAGGCAATATGACTGCTATATCTCCATTAGGTTAAAAGATTGTGAAGAAATCAATGTAATCTTTCAGCTCGGACAGCCTCTCCTCTCCCCTCCCTTTAATAAAGACACCGTCTCTCTCTTCTCCCGTCTGTAATTTATAGGTCCCGTCAGCCCAGCGAGGCTGTAACAGGGTGTATGGGGATCACTGATCTTTAAGGCCCATCAGGGTCTCCTTAGCCGTAACATACCATAATATCTCACACTGTGCGTCTTTAGTCATTATGATACCCCCCCCTCTACTGCCTGTCCCCATCGCAAGGAAAGATAAATATCTATGTTGAGTCCCAAATGGCACCCTATTCCCTATCTAGTGCACTACTTTAGACCAGGGCCCATAGCCAAATGGCACCCTATTCCCTATCTAGTGCACTACTTTAGACCAGGGCCCATAGCCAAATGGCACCCTATTCCCTATCTAGTGCACTACTTTAGACCAGAGCCCATAGCCAAATGGCACCCTATTCCCTATCTAGTGCACTACTTTAGACCAGAGCCCATAGCCAAATGGCACCCTATTCCCTATCTAGTGCACTACTTTAGACCAGAGCCCATAGCCAAATGGCACCCTATTCCCTATCTAGTGCACTACTTTAGACCAGAGCCCATAGCCAAATGGCACCCTATTCCCTATCTAGTGCACTACTTTAGACCAGAGCCCATAGCCAAATGGCACCCTATTCCCTATCTAGTGCACTACTTTAGACCAGGGCCCATAGCCAAATGGCACCCTATTCCCGATCTAGTGCACTACTTTAGACCAGAGCCCATAGCCAAATGGCACCCTATTCCCTATCTAGTGCACTACTTTAGACCAGAGCCCATAGCCAAATGGCACCCTATTCCCGATCTAGTGCACTACTTTAGACCAGAGCCCATAGCCAAATGGCACCCTATTCCCTATCTAGTGCACTACTTTAGACCAGGGCCCATAGCCAAATGGCACCCTATTCCCGATCTAGTGCACTACTTTAGACCAGAGCCCATAGCCAAATGGCACCCTATTCCCTATCTAGTGCACTACTTTAGACCAGAGCCCATAGCCAAATGGCACCCTATTCCCTATCTAGTGCACTACTTTAGACCAGCGCCCATAGCCAAATGGCATCCTATTCCCTATCTAGTGCACTACTTTAGACCAGAGCCCATAGCCAAATGGCACCCTATTCCCTATCTAGTGCACTACTTTAGACCAGAGCCCATAGCCAAATGGCACCCTATTCCCTATCTAGTGCACTACTTTAGACCAGGGCCCATAGCCAAATGGCACCCTATTCCCTATCTAGTGCACTACTTTAGACCAGAGCCCATAGCCAAATGGCACCCTATTCCCTATCTAGTGCACTACTTTAGACCAGAGCCCATAGCCAAATGGCACCCTATTCCCTATCTAGTGCACTACTTTAGACCAGAGCCCATAGCCAAATGGCACCCTATTCCCTATCTAGTGCACTACTTTAGACCAGAGCCCATAGCCAAATGGCACCCTATTCCCTATCTAGTGCACTACTTTAGACCAGAGCCCATAGCCAAATGGCACCCTATTCCCTATCTAGTGCACTACTTTAGACCAGAGCCCATAGCCAAATGGCACCCTATTCCCTATCTAGTGCACTACTTTAGACCAGAGCCCATAGCCAAATGGCACCCTATTCCCTATTTAGTGCACTACTTTAGACCAGGGCCCATAGCCAAATGGCACCCTATTCCCTATCTAGTGCACTACTTTAGACCAGGGCCCATAGCCAAATGGCACCCTATTCCCTATCTAGTGCACTACTTTAGACCAGAGCCCATAGCCAAATGGCACCCTATTCCCTATCTTGTGCACTACTTTAGACCAGAGCCCATAGCCAAATGCCCCTCTATTCCCTATCTAGTGCACTACTTTAGACCAGAGCCCATAGCCAAATGGCACCCTATTCCCTATCTAGTGCACTACTTTAGACCAGAGCCCATAGCCAAATGGCACCCTATTCCCTATCTAGTGCACTACTTTAGACCAGAGCCCATAGCCAAATGGCACCCTATTCCCTATCTAGTGCACTACTTTAGACCAGACCCATAGCCAAATGGCACCCTATTCCCTATCTAGTGCACTACTTTAGACCAGGGCCCATAGCCAAATGGCACCCTATTCCCTATCTAGTGCACTACTTTAGACCAGAGCCCATAGCCAAATGGCACCCTATTCCCTATATAGTGCACTACTTTAGACCAGAGCCCATAGCCAAATGGCACCCTATTCCCTATCTAGTGCACTACTTTAGACCAGGGCCCATAGCCAAATGGCACCCTATTCCCTATATAGTGCACTACTTTAGACCAGAGCCCATAGCCAAATGGCACCCTATTCCCTATCTAGTGCACTATTTTAGACCAGAGCCCATAGCCAAATGGCACCCTATTCCCTATCTAGTGCACTACTTTAGACCAGACCCATAGCCAAATGGCACCCTATTCCCTATCTAGTGCACTACTTTAGACCAGGGCCCATAGCCAAATTTACATTTACATTTTAGTCATTTAGCAGACGCTCTTATCCAGAGCGACTTACAGTTAGTGAATACATATCTTTTTATACTGGCCCCCCGTGGGAATCGAACCCACAACCCTGGCGTTGCAAACGCCATGCTCTAGCAACATCCCTGCCGGCCATTCCCTCCCCTACCCTGGACGACGCTGGGCCAATTGTGCGCCGCCCATGAGTCTCCCGGTCGCGGCCGGCTGCGACAGAGCCTGGATTCGAACCAGGATCTCTAGTGGCACAGTTAGCACTGCGATGCACCCTATTCCCTATCTAGTGCACTACTTTAGACCAGAGCCCATAGCCAAATGGCACCCTATTCCCTATATAGTGCACTACTTTAGACCAGAGCCCATAGCCAAATGGCACCCTATTCCCTATCTAGTGCACTACTTTAGACCAGGGCCCATAGCCAAATGGCACCCTATTCCCTATATAGTGCACTACTTTAGACCAGAGCCCATAGCCAAATGGCACCCTATTCCCTATGTAGTGCACTACTTTAGACCAGGGCCCATAGCCAAATGGCACCCTATTCCCTATGTAGTGCACTACTTTAGACCAGGGCCCATAGCCAAATGGCACCCTATTCCCTATCTAGTGCACTACTTTAGACCAGGGCCCATAGCCGAATGGCACCCTATTCCCTATCTAGTGCACTACTTTAGACCAGGGCCCATAGCCAAATGGCACCCTATTCCCTATGTAGTGCACTACTTTAGACCAGAGCCCATAGCCAAATGGCACCCTATTCCCTATCTAGTGCACTACTTTAGACCAGGGCCCATAGCCAAATGGCACCCTATTCCCTATCTAGTGCACTACTTTAGACCAGGGCCCATAGCCAAATGGCACCCTATTCCCTATCTAGTGCACTACTTTAGACCAGGGCCCATAGCGGAATGGCACCCTATTCCCTATGTAGTGCACTACTTTAGACCAGGGCCCTTAGGGAATAGGGTGCCCCTTGGGATGCAGTCCCAGTTGTCCTCATACCAGGGGGAGATCAATCTGTGACACACAACCTTCCGCAATAACAACGGAAAGTAAATCACAACTGAAATGACCCTCATGACGGATATATATCGTTTTTTCTTCTTTCAGTGGCCATTTTGAAAATGTAAAATCAACCTTTGATGTCCAAAGTTCCTGGGCTGGCTCCTACAATGATGGTATTACAAGGATGTTAGATTAAATCGTTACTGTACAACAATTCAATTGTCATGGTGTTGAATTTATTTGTAAATCTGCTTTAATCTCCAAAAGTCCTTAAAGTTGGTGGCTCAATTCAGGTGGATGTTAGAGGCAGTTTTACTGAACAATGTGTTTGTTTCATATGATTGGCTTTTCATCTATTGTCTAATTGATGTGTATATAGATATGTATTGTCTAATTGATGTGTATATAGATATGTATTGTCTAATTGATGTGTATGTAGATATGTATTGTCTAATTGATGTGTATATAGATATGTATTGTCTAATTGATGTGTATATAGATATGTATTGTCTATATAGATATGTATTGTCTAATTGATGTGTATATAGATATGTATTGTCTAATTGATGTGTATATAGATATGTATTGTGTAATTGTTGTTTATTTACGTGTTGATGCTCATCTGCAAAAGAGACCGTGGTCTCAGCATGACTCCCTGCTAAAATAAAGGTTAAATAAAAAATTGAAGACCATTTGTGTGCTATACAAAGTAATATTGTCACGCCCTGGCTCTGGGGACTATGTTATGTTGAGCCAGGGTATGTAAGTCTATGTTTTGTATATCTATGTTGGCCTGAGTGACTCCCAATCAGAGGCAACGAGTGTCAGCTGGTTGTCTCTGATTGGGAGCCATATTTAACTATCGGTCTTTTCACTTTGTGTTGTGGTTTCTTGTTCCTTTTGGTTTGTGTATCGAAGGACTTCACGTTTCGTTCATTGTTTTGATCGTGTGATCTAGTTAATAAATATAAATATGTTCACCCGCAACGCTGCGCCTTGGTCCACTCTGTTAGACGATCGTGACAGAAGAAACCACCAAGACAGGACCAAGCAGCATGAAGAGGAGAGAGGAAGGACCTGGGATCAGGGGAGTAGGAGTTTCGGCTGGGCCACGCTAAGTGAAGAGGAGAGAGGCTGGTCTATGAAGCAATGGATCGAGAGTCTGGCGAGAGCTAGGGAGGCCTGGTCCACGGGGAGGAGAGAACCCCAGAAAATTTTTAGGGGGGGGCTCACGACGTGGACGACGGGGCAGCAGGAGGCCGCGATGGAGCGGTCCAGCGGGTGTGAAGAGGAGGCCGCCAGGTTAAGGGGGCCACTGGTCACAGAGGAGAGGGAAAGTGTGGAGGCACGGCGAGAGGTACTGGGGTGTATTACCAGTCCGGTCCGGCCCGTTCCTGATCCCTGCATAGGGCCAGTGGCGTGTGTCCCCAGTACGGTTCGGCCTGTTCCTGCCTCTCGCACCGAGCCTGTGGTGCGCGTCGTCAGCCCTGTCCGGCCCGTTCCTGCTCTCCGTACCAAGTCAGTGGTGCGCGTCGCCAGCCCGGTCCGGCCCATTCCTGCTCTCCGCACCAAGTCTGTGGTGCGCGTCGCCAGCCCAGTCCGGCCCATCCAAGCTTCCCGCACCAAGCCAGTGGTGTGCGTCGTCAGTCCGGCACGGCCCGTTCCTGCTCTCCGCACCAAGTCTGTGGTGCGCGTCGCCAGCCCAGTCCGGCCCATCCAAGCTTCCCGCACCAAGCCAGTGGTGTGCGTCGTCAGTCCGGCACGGCCCGTGCCTGCTCTCCGCACCAAGTCTATGGTGCGTTTCGTCAGCCCTGTCCGGCCCGTTCCTGCTCTCCGCACCAAGTCTGTGGTGCGCGTCGCCAGCCCAGTCCGGCCCATCCAAGCTCCCCGCACCAGGTCAGTGGTGCGCGTCGTCAGCCCGGTCCGGCTCATTCCTGCTCCCCGCACCAAGTCAGGGGTGCGCTTCGTCAGCCCGGTCCGGCCCGTTCCTCCTCCACGCATCAAGCCAGGGGTGTGCGTCGTCAGTCCAGCACAACCCGTGCCTGGGTCATGTCCGGAGCCGGATCCGCCGCCGAGGCGGAGTGCCCACCCGGTCCCTCCCCTGTTGTGGTTGTTTGGCGCGGCCGGAGTCCGCGCCTTTGGGGGGGGGTACTGTCACGCCCTGGCTCTGGGGACTATGTTATGTTGAGCCAGGGTGTGTAAGGCTATGTTTTGTATATCTATGTTGGCCTGAGTGACTCCCAATCAGAGGCAACGAGTGTCAGCTGGTTGTCTCTGATTGGGAGCCATATTTAACTATCGGTCTTTTCACTTTGTGTTGTGGTTTCTTGTTCCTTTTGGTTTGTGTATCGAAGGACTTCACGTTTCGTTCATTGTTTTGATCGTGTGATCTAGTTAATAAATATAAATATGTTCACCCGCAACGCTGCGCCTTGGTCCACTCTGTTAGACGATCGTGACAAATATAATCTTATGCGGTAATATTAATATATCATTATTTGTGTGCTGATTGAAATAATGCTACATAATTAAACAAAGTCACTGTTAGCCCCGTCATATTTTCTAGTTGTGAATAACATGATACACATGTTGACTTCTGTATTACACGTTGCTAAATTCCATTTGTAATCATTCTGTACTGTGTCTGGTAGCGAGTGTATGGGGAGAATGGCTATGCTTGAACTGACTGAATATTTTATATATGAATTAGTAGAAATTACCCCAGATATTAGGAGGCTCCTCATAGTCACTTCCTGTTGAACGAGGGAGAGCTCAGTTTGTTGTTTTGAAAGTGTATTCGAAAGTTTCTTAGTAGCTAGCTAACTTTTTAGTTTGGATCCCGCGACGCAGTTGGCATCAGTTGCTGGGACTGCTAGTCTCTGTCCAGGGATCCTGCCGACCAAGGCCGGGTCTGAGGAGCTATTTAGCAATGCTGCTAGCTAGCTGCCTATCACGCTAGCAGGATTTTCTTGAGGGCTTGAATGCAGCCTGCAACGCGGTTAGCCACTGTGGCTGGGACCGTGGATTGTCCCGGGTTTGTGGCTGTCTAGATCCCTGCTGTTTGTTGTTTTCAATCTTCCCTGAGACCTGTCCTGTCTGGAACTGCGAGGAGTAACAGCGTAATCTACGTTGCTTCCATGACTAAGACCAAAGCTGGTGGGAGAACCGTTGAGGACAGTGGTGTCTCACTATCACACGTGAAGGATCTTCTAAACAAACAAAAATAGTTCTACAAGCAGTTGTTACAACAACAAGAACATTGCTTCAAGTGTTTTGCCCAAATACTGGTGGAGTCAACTAATAAAAGAATTGGACAACCTGACCAGAGAGGTCTAGGACCTGAAGAACAGTTTGGAGTTCTCCCAGAGTCAGCTCGATGAGATGAAACAGGAGAACGGCAAGATGACAGCAATCTGTAAGTCATTGAGAGAGGACATCAGTTCTGTGTGTGAATCCATGATAACAATGACGGATACATCTCGAGGGACAATAAAGGCTGAACAACATGGTTGTGGACGGAATTACAGAATCTCCACATGAGACCTGGACGGAGTCTGAGGACAAAGTGAGGGAAATGATCTCGGAGAAATTGAAGATGGACCGCAGAAAGATTGAGGTGGAGCGCGCCCACAGGACTGGTAAACCCACCACTGCCCCAGGTGACAGGCCCAGGCAGATAGTGGTCAAGTTCCTGAGGTTCAAGGACAAGGTAGCTGTTCTAGAAAGAGCCATGAACTTGAGAGGAATGTACATCTTCCTCAACGAGGACTATCCTGAAGCTGTGCGCTAGAAGAGGAAATAACTTATCCCAGCCATGAAAGCTGCCAGAGCGTGTGGGGACATTGCCTACATCCGCTATGACAGGCTAATTGGGGGTGCCATAGGGTTCAATTCTTGGGCCGACTCGTGTATATCAATGATGTCGCTCTTGCTGCTGGTGACTCTCAGATCCACCTCTACGCAGACGACACCATTTTGTATACATCTGGCCCTTCATTGGACACTGTGTTAACAAACCTCCAAACGAGCTTCAATGCCATACAACACTCCTTCAGTAGCCTCCAACTGCTCTTAAACACTAGTAAAACTAAATGCATGCTCTTCAATCGAACGCTGCTGGCACCCGCCCACCCGACTAGAATCACTACTCTCGACGGGTCTGACCTAGAGTATGTGGACAACTACAAATACCTAGGTGTCTGGTTATTGTAAACTCTCCTTCCAGACTCACATTAAGAATCTCCAATCCAAAGTTAAATCTAGAATCGGCTTCCTATTTCGCAACAAAGCCTCCTTCACTCATGTCGCCAAACATGCCCTCGTAAAACGGACTATCCTACCGATCCTTGACTTCGGCGATGTCATTTACAAAATAGCCTCCAACACTCTACTCAGCAAATTGGATGTAGTCTATCACAGTGCCATCCGTTTTGTCTCCAAAGCCCCATACACTACCCACCACTGTGACCTGTACGCTCTTGTTGGCTGGTCCTCACTACATGTTCGTTGTCAAACCCACTGGCTCCAGGCCATCTATAAATCACTACTAGGCAAATCCCCGCCTTATCTTAGCTCATTGGTCACCATAGCAGCACCCACCCGTAGTCTGCGCTCCAGCAGGTATATCTCACTGGTCATCCCCAAAGCCAACACCTCCTTTTGCCGCCATTCCTTCCAGTTCTCTGCTGCCAATGACTGGAACGAATTGCAAAAATCTCTGAAGCTGGAGACTCTTATCTCCCTCACTAACTTTAAGCATCAGTTGTCAGAGCACCTTACCGATCACTGCACCTGTACACAGCCCATCTGAAATTAGCCCACCCAACTACCTCATCCCCATATTGTTATTTATTTTGCTCTTTTGCACCCCAGTATCTCTATTTGCACATCATCTCTTGCACATCTATCATTCCAGTGTTAATACTAATTGTAATTATTTTGCACTATGGCCTATTTATTGCCTTACCTCCATAACTTGCTACATTTGCACACACTGTATATTCAGAGACATTTCCCTGTAATGCTTAGAGAAGATCTTATGTCAAGTGGTATTGAAGTGTTGTGGTTGCAGGTTCACTTGGCACATCTAAAGCCTTTTCTTTTGGGGTGTTGCTATAGGCCACCAAGTGCTAACAGTCAGTATCTAAATAATACAGTGCATTGGAAAGTATTCAGACCTCTTACATACGTATTCAGACCCTTTACTCAGTACTTTGTTGAAGCACCTTTGGCAGCGATTACAGCCTCAAGTATTCTTGGTTATGACGCTACAACCTTGGCACACCTGTATTTGGGAAGTTTCTCCCATTCTTTTGGGCAGATCCTTTCAAGTTCTGTCAGGTTGGATGGGGAGTGTTGCTGCACAGCTATTTTCAGGTCTCTCCAGAGATGTTAGATCGGGTTCAAGTCCGGGCTCTGGCTGGGCCACTCAATGACTTTCAGAGACTTGTCCCGAAGCCACTCCTGTGTTGTCTTGGCTGTGTGCTTAGGGTTGTTGTCCAGTTGGAAGGTGATCCTGAGCGCTCTGGAGCAAGTTTTCATCAAGGATCTCTCTGTACTTTGCTCTGTTCATATTTCCCTCGATCCTGACTAGTCTCCCAGTCCCTGCCGCTGAAAAACATTCCCAATAGCATGATGCTGCCACCACCATGCTTCCCCGTAGGGATGGTGCCAGGTTTCCTACAGACTTGATGCTTGACATTCAGGCCAAAGAGTTCAATCTTGGTTTCATCAGACAAGATAATCTTGTTTTTCATGGTCTGAGAGTCTTTAGTTGCCTTTTGGCAAACTCCAAGTGGGCTGTCATGTGCCTTATACTGAGGAGTGGCTTCCATCTGGCCACTCTACCATAAAGGCCTGATTGGTGGAGTGCTGCAGAGACGGTTGTCCTTCTGGAAAATTCTCTCATCTCTAAAGAGGAACTTTGGAGCTCTGTCTGTCACAATCGTTTACGAACGAGAAGGACCAAGGCGCAGCGTGATAAGCATACATGTTTATTTAACGAATAAACACCACGACAAAACAACGAAATGAAACGTCCAAGGTAGCATACACACAACATACCTTACACGGAACAAGATCCCACAACCCACTAGTGCCAACAGGCTACCTAAGTATGGTCCCCAATCAGAGACAACGAGCTACAGCTGCCTCTGATTGGGAACCACCCTGGCCAACATAGATCTATACATACAAGATCTAACCATAGACAATAAACATAGCACAACACGACACAGAAAATCCACACCCTGACTCAACAAATACGAGTCCTAGAGTCAGGGCGTGACACTGTCAGAGTAACCATCGGGTTGTTGGTCGCCCTTCTCCCCAGTGCCTTGGTGGTTCCAAATTTCTTAACCAACAATGCAGTTCAAGAAAATATTTACTAAATAAACTAAAGTAAAAAAATAAAAATAAAAGTAACAATAAAATAACAATAACGAGGCTATATACAGGGGGTACCGATACCGAGTCAATGATCGGGGGTACAGGTTAGTCAAGGTAATGTGTACATGTAGGTAGGGGTAAAGTGACTATGTATAGATAATAAACAGCGGGTAGTCCGGGTGGCCATTTGATTCATTGTTCAGCAGTCTTATGGCTTGGGGGTAGAAGCTGTTAAGGAGCCTTTTGGACCTAGACTTGGCGTTCCGGTACCGCTTGCTGTGCGGTAGCAGAGAGAACAGTCTATGACTAGGGTGACTGGAGTATTTGACAATTTTTTGGGCCTTCTTCTGACACCGCCATGGTAATACGTCCTGGATGGCAGGAAGCTTGGCCCCAGTGATGTACTGGGCCGTACGCACTACCCTCTGTAGCGCCTTGCGGTCGGAGGCCGAGCAGTTGCCATACCAGGCGGTGATGCAACCAGTCAGGATGCTCTTGATGGTGCAGCTGTATAACTTTTTGAGGATCTGGGGACCCATGCCAAATCATTTCAGTCTCCTGAGGGGGAATAGGCTTTGTCGTGCCCTCTTCACGTCTGTCTTGGTGTGTTTGGACACCAAGGAACTTGAAACTCTTGACCCGCTCCACTACAGCCCTGTGGATGTGAATGGGGGCGTGTTCGGCCCTCCTTTTCCTGTAGTCCACGATGATCTCCTTTGTCTTGCTCACGTTGAGGGAGAGGTTGTTTTTCTGGCACCACACTGCCAGGTCTCTGACCTCCTCCCTATAGGCTTTCTCATCGTTGTCGGTGATCAGGCCTACCACCGTTGTGTTTTCAGCAAACTTAATGATGGTGTTGGAGTCGTGCTTGGCCACGAAGTCATGGATGAACAGGGAGTACAGGAGGGGACCAAGCACGTACCCCTGAGGGGCCCCCGTGTTGAGGGTGAGCGTGGCAGATGTGTTGTTGCCTACCCTTACCACCTGGTGCGGCCCATCAGGAAGTCCAGGATCCAGTTGCAGAGGGAGGTGTTTAGTCCCAGGGTCCTTAGCTTAGTGATGAGCTTTGAGGGCACTATGGTGTTGAACGCTGAGCTGTAGTCGATGAACAGCATTCTCACGTAGGTGTTCCTTTTGTCCAGGTGGGGAAGGGTAGTGTGGATTGCGATTGAGATTGCGTCATCTGTGGATCTGTTGGGGTGGTATGCGAATTGGAGTGGGTCTAGGGTTTCCGGGATGATGGTATTAATGTGAATCATGACCAGTCTTTCAAAGCAGTTCATGGCTACGGGGCGGTAGTCATTTAGGCAGGTTACCTTCGCTTTCTTGGGCACAGGGACTATGGTGGTCTGCTTGAAACATGTAGTTATTACAGACTCGGTCAGGGAGAGGTTGAAAATGTCAGTGAAGACACTTGCCAGTTGGTCCGCGTATGCTCTGAGTACACGTCCTCGTAATCCGTCTGGCCCTGCGGCCTTGTGAACGTTGACCTGTTTAAAGGCTCACATCGGCTAAGAGATTATACAAAATATTTTGCTGTGACTCTTATGTGGATGATGTTACAAATATTTGTTGGTCTGATGTGATTAATAAGGAGCATCCAGATGCTGCACTTGATGAATTTAGGAAATTGCTTCTTCCAATTATTGATAAACATGCACCTGTTAAGAAACTGACTGTTAGAACTGTTAAGGCTCCGTGGATTGATGAGGAATTGAAAAACTGTCTGGTTGAAAGAGACGGGGCAAAAGGAGTGGCTAATAAGACTGGCTGCACATCTGACTGGCTGACTTACTGCAAATTGAGAAATTATGTGACTAAACTCAACAAAAAGAAGAATAAACAGTATTATGAAGCCAAGATCAATGATATAAGGAATGATGGAAAAAAAACTTTGAAGTACTTTAAATGAAATTATGTCAGAAAGACAAATTCAACTCCATCTTTCATTGAATCAGATGGCTTATTCATCACAAAACCATTTGATGTTGCCAATTATTTTAAGGATTACTTCATTGGCAAAGTGGGCAAACTTAGGCAGGAAATGCCAACAACAAACAGTGAGCCGTCGTACTCATGCATAAAAAAACAAATAATGAAAGAAAAGCATTGCAAGGTGGAACAATTATTGTTATCGATCAATAATGACAAACCTCCTGGCATTGACAACTTAGATGGAAAGCTACTGAGGATGGTTAGCTGACTCTATAGCCACTCCTATCTGTCATATCTTTAATCTGAGCCTAGAGGAAAGTCTTTGTCCTCAGGCCTGGAGGGAAGCCAAAGTCATTCCACTACCCAAGAGTGGTTAAAGAGGCCTTTCCTGGTTCTAACAGCAGACCTATCAGCTTGCTGCCAGCTCTTAGCAAACTGTTGGAAAGAAATGTGTTTGACCAAATACAATGCTTATTTCTCTGGAAAACACATTAACAACAGACTTTCAGCATGCTTATAGGGAAGGCCATTCAACATGTACTGCACTGACACAAATTACTGATGATTGGTTGAAATAAATTGAAAATAAGAAGATTGTGGGAGCTGTACTGTTAGATTTCAGTGCAGCCTTTGATATTATTGACCATAACCTGTTGTTGAAAAAACGTATGTGTTATGGCTTTTCAACCCCTGCCATATCGTGGATTCAGAGCTATCTATCTAATAGAACTCAAAGGGTTTTCTTTAATGGAAGCTTCTCTAATGTCAAACATGTAAAGCGTGGTGTACCGCAGGGCAGCGCTCTAGGCCCTCTACTCTTTTCTATTTTTACCAATGACCTGCCACTGGCATTAAAAAAAGCATGTGTGTCCATGTATGCTGATTATTTAACCATATATGCTTCAGCAACCACAGCTAATGAAGTCACTGAAACCCTTAACAAAGAGTTGCAATCTGTTTTGGAATGGGTGGCCACTAATAAACTGGTCCTGAACATCTCTAAAAATAAGAGCATTGTATTTGGTACAAATCATTCCCTAAGTTCTAGGAGAGACAGTGGTGGTACTGGGTCTTTAAGAGTGTCTAGGAGAGTAGTGGTGGTACTGGGTCTTAGAGAGTGTCTAGGAGAGTAGTGGTGGTACTGGGTCTTAGAGAGGGTCTAGGAGAGTAGTGGTGGTACTGGGTCTTATAGAGGGTTTAGGAGAGTAGTGGTGGTACTGGGTCTTAGAGAGGGTTTAGGAGAGACAGTGTAGACCAACCAGAGACAGTGTAGACCAGCCAGAGACAGTGTAGACCAGCCAGAGACAGTGTAGACCAACCAGAGACAGTGTAGACCAACCAGAGACAGTGTAGACCAGCCAGAGACAGTGTAGACCAGCCAGAGACAGTGTAGACCAGCCAGAGACAGTGTAGACCAGCCAGAGACAGTGTAGACCAGCCAGAGACAGTGTAGACCAGCCAGAGACAGTGTAGACCAACCAGAGACAGTGTAGACCAGCCAGAGACAGTGTAGACCAGCCAGAGACAGTGTAGACCAGCCAGAGACAGTGTAGACCAGCCAGAGACAGTGTAGACCAGCCAGAGACAGTGTAGACCAGCCAGAGACAGTGTAGACCAACCAGAGACAGTGTAGACCAGCCAGAGACAGTGTAGACCAGCCAGAGACAGTGTAGACCAGCCAGAGACAGTGTAGACCAGCCAGAGACAGTGTAGACCAGCCAGAGACAGTGCATGGAGAGGTAGTCATTCTGGACCTGGAGCAGAGCCATGATTCCATTATACTGATACAGCTCCAAACCTGGAATAAGTCGTTATCCATCCATTTCTAGCCATCTATCAATTAGCAATTAGCATTTAGCATACTTTTTGTAAAAAGCGACTTACAGACATGCCTTCATACATTTTATATATGGGTGCCACTAGAGATCCTGGTTCGAATCCAGGCTCTGTCGTAGCCGGCCGCGACCGGGACACCCATGTGACGGCGCACAATTGGCCCAGCGTTGTCCAGGGTAGGGGAGGGAATGGCCGGCAGGGATGTAGCTCAGTTGGTAGAGCATGGTGTTTGCAACGCCAGGGTTGTGGGTTCGATTCCCACGGGGGGCCAGTATGAAAATAATATATAAAAAAATAATAATGTATGAACTCACTAACTGTAAGTCGCTCTGGATAAGAGCGTCTGCTAAATGACGTAAATGTAAATGTGTCCCCAGCGGGAATTGAACCCACAACCCTTGGCGTTACATGCCATGATCTACTGCCTGAGCCAAACAGAACTACTTTATGACCACTGAAGTTGTTCAACTTTGTGTTATGTTAATGATTTGAAATGCAGTCAAATTAATACATTTAAAAAACTCACCGTGCCCTGCGTACAGGTTGATGCGAGGGGCATTGGTAGTGTCGGTTTTTGTCATTCATACAGAAGCCTTTAGAAAGAGCTAGATGCCATTTAACACGTTATAACACGTTACCATTTAACACGTTATACCACGTTAAAATTTAACAGGTTATAACACGTTACCATTTAACACGTTATACCACGTTACCATTTAACACGTTATAACACGTTACCATTTAACACGTTATAATACGTTACCATTTAACACGTTATAACACGTTACCATTTAACACGTTATAACACGTTACCATTTAACACGTTATACCACGTTACCATTTAACACATTATACCACGTTACCATTTAACACGTTATACCACGTTACCAGTTAAGTTCTGTACTGATTCCTATCTTGTTGATGTGAAGAATATTTGTGTGTAATGACGAGCAACCAGATGCTGCAATTGACACATTTATGAAATTGCTTATTCCAGTTACTAATAAGCATGCACCCATTAAGAAAATGACTGTAAAAACTGTTAAATCCCAGTGGATTGATGAGTAATTTTAAAATTGTATGGTTGAGAGGGATGAGGCAAAAGGAATGGCAAATAAGTCTGGCTGCACAACCGATTGGCAAACGTATTGCAAATTGAGAAATCATGTGACTAAACTGAATAAAAAGAAGAAGAAACTATACTATGAAACAAAGATGAATGATAGGAAAAAGCTTTGGAGCACCATAAATGAAATTTTGGGCAAGAAGGCAAACTCTGCTCCATCATTCATTTAATCAGATGACACATTCATCACAAAACCCACTGATATTGCCAACTACTTTAATTATTTTATTATTATTGGCAAGATTAGTAAACTTAGGCATGACATGCCAGCAACAAACGCTGACACTACACATCCAAGTATATCTGACCCAATTATGAAAGACAAGCATTGACATTTTGAATTCCGTAAAGTAAGTCTGGAAGAGGTGAAAATAATATTGTTGTCTAAAAACAATGACAAGCCACCGGGGTCTGACAACTTGGATGGAAAATTACTGAGGATAATAGCAGACAATATTGCCACTCCTATTTGACTTTTCTTCAATTTAAGCCTACTAGAAACTGTGTGCCCTCAGGCCTGGAGGGAAGCAAAAGTCATTTCACTACCTAAGAATTGTAAAGCCCCCTTTACTGGCTCAAATAGCCGACCAATCAACCTGTTACCAACCCTTAGTAAACTTTTGGAAAAAATTGTGTTTGACCAGATACAATGCTATTTTACTGTAAACAAATCGACAACAAAATTTCAGCACGATTATAGGGAAGGACATTCAACAGGCACAGCACTTACACAAATGACTGATGATTGGCTGAGAGAAATGATGATAAAAAGATTGTGGGGGCTGTTTTGTTAGACTTCAGTGCGTTTTTTGACATTATCGATCATAGTCTGCTGTTGGAAAAACATATGTGTTATGGCTTTACACCCCCTGCTATAATGTGGATGAAGAGTTACTTGTCTAACAGAACACAGAGGGAGTTATTTAATGGAAGCCTCTCAAACTTAATCCAGGTAGAATCAGGAATTCCCCAGGGCAGCTGTCTAGGACCCTTACTTTTTTCCATCTTTACTAACGACATGTCACTGACTCAACACTATACAGTCATGGTCAAAAGTTTTGGTCTACACAAAGTTTGCTGCTTCAGTGTTTTTAGATATTTCTGTCAGATGTTACTATGGTATACTGAAGTATAATTACAAGCATTCCATAAGTGTCGAAGGCTTTTATTGACAATTACATTAAGTTTATGCAAAGAGTCAATATTTTCAGTGTTGACCCTTCTTTTTCAAGAACTCTGCAATCCGCCCAGGCATGCTGTCAATTAACTTCTGGGCCACATCCTGACTGATGGCAGCCCATTCTTGCATAATCAATGCTTGGAGTTTGTCAGAATTTGTGGGTTTTTGTTTGTCCACCCACCTCTTGAGGATCGACCACAAGTTCTCAATTGGATTAAGGTCTGGGGAGTTTCCTGGCCACTTTTGCCTTATGGCAAGGTGCTCCATCATGCTGGAAAAGGCATTGATCGTCACCAAACTGTTCTTGGATGGTTGGGAGAAGTTGCTCTCGGAGGATGTGTTGGTACCATTCTTTATTCATGGCTGTGTTCTTAGGCAAAATTGTGAGTGAGCCCACTCCCTTGGCTGAGAAGCAACCCCACACATGAATGGTCTCAGGATGCTTTACTGTTGGCATGACACAGGACTGATGGTAGCGCTCACCTCGTCTTCTATGGACAAGCTTTTTTCCGGATGCCCCAAACAATCGGAAAAGGGATTCATTCATTCATCCTGGAGAGAAGTGGCTTCCTCGCTGCCCTTCTTGACACCAGGCCATCCTCCAAAAGTCTTTGCCTCACTGTGCATGCAGATGCACTCACACCTGCCTGCTGCCATTCCTGAGCAAGCTCTGCACTGGTGGTGCCCCGATCCCGCAGCTGAATCAACTTTAGGAGACGTCCTGGCGCTTGCTGGACTTTCTTGGGCGCCCTGAAGCCTTTCTTGATGATCCGATAAATGGTTGATTTAGGTGCAATCTTACTAGCAGCAATATCCTTGCCTGTGAAGCCCTTTTTGTGCAAAGCAATGATGACAGCACGTGTTTCCTTGCAGGTAACCATGGTTAACAGAGGAAGAACAATGATTTCAAGCACCACCCTTCTTTTAAAGCTTCCAGTCTGTTATTCTAACTCACTCAGCATGACAAAGTGATCTCCAGCTGTCACGCCCTGGCTCTGGGGACACTTGTATGTTGAGCCAGGGTGTGAGTTTCCTTGTTTCTAGTTGGTGTATTTCTATGTTGACCAGAGTGGTTCTCAATCAGAGGCAACTAGTGTCAGCTGTTGCTAGTTGTCTCTGATTGGGAACCATATTTATTCAGTCTGTTTGCCACAGTGGTTTGTGGGATCTTGTTCCAGTGTGGTTTGTGTTAGACCGTGGACGTCACGTTATCGTTTTGTTGCTTTGTTCGTGTAATCACTAATAAAAGAGTATGTTCGCCTTCAACGCTGCGCCTTGGTCCTCCTCTGTTCCCGACGATCGTGACACCAGCCTTGTCCTCATCAGCACTCTCACCTGTGTTAACGAGAGAATCACTGACTTGATGTCAGCTGGTCCTTTTGTGGCAGGGCTGAAATGCAGTGGAAATGTTTTTTGGGGATTAAGTTCATATTCATGGAAAAGAGGGACTTTGCAATTAATTGCAATTCATCTGATCACTCTTCATAACATTCTGAAGTATATGCAAATTGCCATCATAAAAGCTGAGGCAGCAGACTTTGTGAAAATTAATATTTGTGTCATTCTCAAAACTTTTGACCATGACTGTACACGTCAGCTGCTACAGCAACTGAAATAAGTGCAACACTTAATAAAGAGTTGCAGTTAGTTTTGGAATGGGTGGCAAGGAATAAGTTAGTCCTAAATATTTCAAAAACTAAAAGCATTGAATTTGGGTTAAATCATTCACTAAACCCTAAACCTCAACTACATCTCGTAATGAATAATGTGGAAATTGAGCAAGTTGAGGTGACTAAACTGCTTGGAGTAACCCTGGATTGTAAACTGTCATGGTCAAAGCATATTGATACAACAGTAGCTAAGATGGGGAGATGTATGTCCATAATTATGCGTTGTTCTGCCTTCTTAACAACACTATCAACAAGGCAGGTCCTACAGGCCCTAGTTTTGTCGCACCTGGACTACTGTTCAGTAGTGTGGTCAGGTGCCACAAAGAGGGACTTAGGAAAATTACAGTTGGCTCAGAACAGGGCAGCACGGCTGGCCCTTAAAAGTACACAGAGAGCTAAAATTAACGACATGCATGTTAGTCTCTCCTGGCTTAGAGTGGAAGAGAGATTGACTTCATCACTGCTTGTTTTTTTAAGAGGTGTAGACAAGCTGAATGTACCAAGCTGTCTGTTTGAACTACTGGCACACAGCTCGGACACCAATGCATACCCCACGAGACATGCCACCAGAGGTCTCTTCACAGTCCCCAAGTCCAGAACAGACTATGGGAGGCGCACAGTACTACATAGAGCCATGACTACATAGAACTCTATTCCACATCAAGTAACTCAGTTAAGCAGTAAAATCAGATTTAAAAAACAGATTAAACTACACTTCATGGAACAGCGCGGACTGTGAAGAGACACACACACACAGCATTCACAAACACATGCTAACACACGCACTCTAAACACACACAATTTAATATGGTTATTTTGCTGTATTATTGATTTTGTATTGTAAATATGTTATGGTAGAGTAGTGTGTAATAAGGTATTGTGTTATGTTGTCACACCCTGGCTCTGGGACTCTATATGTTGAGCCAGGGTGTGTTCATTCTGTTGTGTTTATTTCTATGTTGGCTAGAGTGACTCCCAATCAGAGGCAACGAGTGTCAGCTGTCGTTGGTTGTCTCTGATTGGGAGCCATATTTAAATTGTCTGTTTTCCCTTTGTGTTTGTGGGTTCTTGTTCCAGTTGGTTTGGTCATTGTTACCGAGGATGTTACGAGTCGTTTGTTGTTTTGTTGATTGTTGTTTCTATTATCACTAAAGAAAGTCAAGTTAACCATGTTCGTTCATCACGCTGTGCCTTGGTCTATTCAATACGACGATCGTGACAGAAGAACCCACCATACAAGGACCAAGCAGCGTGTCCAGGGGCAGATCTTGGACTGGACATGGGAGGAAGCGCCGGGAAAGGAGATGGAGAGGTTGGCGATGGCCCAGGTGGGCAAAGTGTGGTCCTGGGAGGACATGCTCGGGGGAAAAGGGCCATGGGCTAGGATTAAGGCCCTGGCGCGAGAGGAGCAGCGGCGTCAGCAGTGTCAACGTCGGACAGGCGAGAGGCAACCCCAGAACATTTTTAGGGGGGGGCACACGGCATGGACGACGGGGCTGACGGAGGCAGAAAAGGGGCGGATTCAGAAGGCCACCAGGTTACGGGGGCCACTGGTCAAAGTAGGGAAGGAAGGTGTAGAGGCACGGCGAGAGGTACTGGGGTGTGTTACCAGTCCGGTCCGGCCCGTTCCAGATCCCGAGGTAGAGCCAGTGGTGTGTGTCCCCAGTACGGTCCGGCCTGTTCCGGCCCCTCGCACCAAGTGTACGGTGTGCGTCGCCAGCCCAGTCCGGCCTGTCCCTGCTCCACGCACCAAGCCTACGGTGTGCGTCGCCAGCCCAGTCCGGCCTGTCCCTGCTCTACGCACCAAGCCTACGGTGTGCGTCGCCAGCCCAGTCCGGCCTGTCCCTGCTCCACGCACCAAGCCTACGGTGTGCGTCGCCAGCCCAGCCCGGCCTGTCCCTGCTCCACGCACCAAGCCTACGGTGTGCGTCGCCAGCCCGGTCCGGCCTGTCCCTGCTCCACGCACCAAGCCTACGGTGTGCGTCGCCAGCCCAGCCCGGCCTGTCCCTGCTCCACGCACCAAGCCTACGGTGTGCGTCGCCAGCCCAGTCCGGCCTGTCCCTGCTCCACGCACCAAGACTACGGTGTGCGTCGCCAGCCCAGCCCGGCCTGTCCCTGCTCCACGCACCAAGCCTACGGTGTGCGTCGTCAGCCTGGTAAGGCCCGTTCCTCCTCCACGCACCAAGCCAGGGGTGCGAGTCGTCAGCCTGGTAAGGCCCGTTCCTCCTCCACGCACCAAGCCAGGGGTGCGCGTCGTCAGTCCAGCACAACCCGTGCCTGGGTCACCGGTGCCTGGTAAGGTCCCGGTCAACTGCTCCACTACGGAGCTGAAGCTAACCGCTCCTGCTAAGTCCAGTTCAGCTCCAGCCAGCGGGGCCAGACTGGACCAGGGGCGCTATGGGGGGTTTATTGGAGGGTGGTGGGCAAGGCCGGAGCCAGAACCACCGCCGAGGAGGTATGCCCACCCAGCCCTCCCCTGTTTTGTTCAAGTTGAGGTGCGGTCGCAGTCCGCGCCTTTAGGGGGGGGTACTGTCACACCCTGGCTCTGGGACTCTATATGTTGAGCCAGGGTGTGTTCATTCTATGTGTTAGATTTCTATGTTGGTAGTTCTAGTTGTGTTTATTTCTATGTTGGCTAGAGTGACTCCCAATCAGAGGCAACGAGTGTCAGCTGTCGTTGGTTGTCTCTGATTGGGAGCCATATTTAAATTGTCTGTTTTCCCTTTGTGTTTGTGGGTTCTTGTTCCAGTTGGTTTGGTCATTGTTACCGAGGACGTTACGAGTCGTTTGTTGTTTTGTTGATTGTTGTTTCTATTATCCCTAAAGATAATAAAGTTAACCATGTTCGTTCATCACGCTGCGCCTTGGTCTATTCAATACGACGATCGTGACATATGTATTGTTTTATTGTATGTAAACTGTGGTTGGACCCCAGGAAGAGTAGCTGCTGCCTTGGCAGCCGCTAATGGGGATCCGTAATAAATACAAAATACAAATACCTATCTAACAGAACACAGAGGGTGTTCTTTAATGGAAGCCTCTCCAACAAAATCTACGTAGAATCAGGAATTCCCCAGGACAGCTGTCTAGGCCCCTTACCTTTTTCAATCTTTACTAACGACATGCCACTGGCTTTGAGTAAAGCCAGTGTGTCTATGTATGCGGATGACTCAACACTATACACGTCAGCTACTACAGCGAGTGAAATTACTGCAACACTTAACAAAGAGCTGCAGTTAGTTTCAGAATGGGTGGCAAGGAATAAGTTAATCCTAAATATTTCAAAAACAAAAAACATTGTATTTGGGTCAAATCATTCACTAAACCCTAAACCTCAATTACATCTTGTAATGAATAATGTGGAAATGGAGCAAGTTGAGGAGACTAACTTGCTTGGAGTATCCATGGATTGTAAACTGTCATGGTCAAAACATAATGATACAACAGTAGCTAAGATGGGGAGAAGTCTGTCCATAATAAAGCGCTGCTCTACCTTCTTAACAGCACTATCAACAAGGCAGGTCCTACAGGCCCTAGTTTTGTTGCACCTGGACTACTGTTCAGTCGTGTGGTCAGGTGCCACAAAGAGGGACTTAGGAAAATTGCTATTGGCTCAGAACAGGGCAGCACGGCTGGCCCTTGGATGCACACAGAGAGCAAACATTAATAATATGCATGTCAATCTCAGCGCGGCTGGCCCTCGGAGTGATGCCTGTCGGAGTGATGCCTGTTGGAGTGATGCCTGTCGGAGTGATGCCTGTCAGAGTGATGCCTGTCAGAGTGATGCCTGTCAGAGTGATGCCTGTTGGAGTGATGCCTGTTGGAGTGATGCCTGTCAGAGTGATGCCTGTTGGAGTGATGCCTGTCGGAGTGATGCCTGTTGGAGTGATGCCTGTTGGAGTGATGCCTGTTAGAGTGATGCCTGTTGGAGTGATGCCTGTTGGAGTGATGCCTGTTGGAGTGATGCCTGTTGGAGTGATGCCTGTTGGAGTGATGCCTGTCGGAGTGATGCCTGTTGGAGTGATGCCTGTCGGAGTGATGCCTGTTGGAGTGATGCCTGTCGGAGTGATGCCTGTCGGAGTGATGCCTGTTGGAGTGATGCCTGTTGGAGTGATGCCTGTTGGAGTGATGCCTGTCGAAGTGATGCCTGTTGGAGTGATGCCTGTCGGAGTGATGCCTGTTGGAGTGATGCCTGTTGGAGTGATGCCTGTCGGAGTGATGCCTGTCGGAGTGATGCCTGTCGGAGTGATGCCTGTCGGAGTGATGCCTGTCAGAGTGATGCCTGTCAGAGTGATGCCTGTCGGAGTGATGCCTGTCGGAGTGATGCCTGTTGGAGTGATGCCTGTTGGAGTGATGCCTGTTTTCTTGTTGCTGCAGCTACCACTCTGCTGTGGCTTGGAAGGTAAGCACAGCATGGAACGTCCCTAGCTTTCTCAGACAATGCTGGCTAAAGCAAATAGCATCATAAAACCAGCTCTGCTGTGTGATTTGAAGCACGTCCACAAGATACAGTGTCTTCAGAAAGGATTCACACCCCTTGACTTTTTCCCCACATTTTGTTGTGTTACAGCCTGAATTTAAAATAGATTACATTTACATTTTGTGCCTACACACAATTACCCCACAATAAAATGAAAAGCTGAAATGTCTTCAGTCAATAAGTATTCAACCCTTTTGTTATGGCAAGCCTAAATAAGTTCAGGAGTAAAAGATTTGCTTAACAAGTCACATAATAAGTTGCATGGACTCACTCTGTGTGCAATAATAGTGCTTAAAATCAAATCAAATTATATTTGTCACATGTGCCGAATACAACAGGTGAAATGCTTACTTACAAGCCCTTAACCAACAATGCAGAGTTTTTTTTTAAGTAAGAAAATATTTGCTAAAAACGTTTATAAAAAATATAATAAACTGAAGTTTAAAAAAACTATAAAATAACACAATATAATGCACTGTGAATTTGTCCCAATACTTTTGGTAAAATGGGGACTATGTACAAAAAAACACATATATACGCGTACTCGGCGGTCCCGTTCTGTGAGCTTGTGTGGCCTACCACTTCGCGGCTGAGCCGTTGTTGCTCCTAGACGTTTCCACTTCACAATAACAGCACTTACAGTTGACCGGGGCAGCTCTAGCAGGGCAGAAATATGACAAACTGACTTGTTGAAAAGGAGGCATCCTATGACGGTGCCACGTTGAAAGTCACTGAGCTCTTCAGTACAGGCCATTCTACTGCCAATGTTTGTCTATGGAGATTGCATGGCTGTGTCCTCGATTTTATACACCTGTCTGCAACGGGGTGTGACTGAAATAGCTGAATCCACTCATTTGGCCATGTAGTGTGCATTCCTTAGTCCTGCTGTACTTTCAACTGGCGTTGGCTGCGTCCCAAATGGCACTAGATAGGGAATAGGGTGCCATTTGGCTATGGGCTCTGGTCTAAAGTAGTGCACTAGATAGGGAATAGGGTGCCATTTGGCTATGGGCCCTGGTCTAAAGTAGTGCACTACATAGGGAATAGGGTGCCATTTGGCTATGGGCTCTGGTCTAAAGTAGTGCACTAGATAGGGAATAGGGTGCCATTTGGCTATGGGCCCTGGTCTAAAGTAGTGCACTACATAGGGAATAGGGTGCCATTTGGCTATGGGCTCTGGTCTAAAGTAGTGCACTACATAGAGAATAGGGTGCTATTTGGCTATGGGCCCTGGTCTAAAGTAGTGCACTACATAGGGAATAGGGTGCTATTTGGCTATGGGCCCTGGTCTAAAGTAGTGCACTAGATAGGGAATAGGGTGCCATTTGGCTATGGGCTCTGGTCTAAAGTAGTGCACTAGATAGGGAATAGGGTGCCATTTGGCTATGGTCTCTGGTCTAAAGTAGTGCACTACATAGGGAATAGGGTGCTATTTGGCTATGGGCCCTGGTCTAAAGTAGTGCACTAGATAGGGAATAGGGTGCCATTTGGCTATGGGCTCTGGTCTAAAGTAGTGCACTAGATAGGGAATAGGGTGCCATTTGGCTATGGGCTCTGGTCTAAAGTAGTGCACTAGATAGGGAATAGGGTGCCATTTGGCTATGGGCTCTGGTCTAAAGTAGTGCACTAGATAGGGAATAGGGTGCCATTTGGCTATGGGCCCTGGTCTAAAGTAGTGCACTAGATAGGGAATAGGGTGCCATTTGGCTATGGGCCCTGGTCTAAAGTAGTGCACTACATAGGGAATAGGGTGCCATTTGGCTATGGGCTCTGGTCTAAAGTAGTGCACTACATAGAGAATAGGGTGCTATTTGGCTATGGGCCCTGGTCTAAAGTAGTGCACTACATAGGGAATAGGGTGCTATTTGGCTATGGGCCCTGGTCTAAAGTAGTGCACTAGATAGGGAATAGGGTGCCATTTGGCTATGGGCTCTGGTCTAAAGTAGTGCACTAGATAGGGAATAGGGTGCCATTTGGCTATGGTCTCTGGTCTAAAGTAGTGCACTACATAGGGAATAGGGTGCTATTTGGCTATGGGCCCTGGTCTAAAGTAGTGCACTAGATAGGGAATAGGGTGCCATTTGGCTATGGGCTCTGGTCTAAAGTAGTGCACTAGATAGGGAATAGGGTGCCATTTGGCTATGGGCTCTGGTCTAAAGTAGTGCACTAGATAGGGAATAGGGTGCCATTTGGCTATGGGCTCTGGTCTAAAGTAGTGCACTAGATAGGGAATAGGGTGCCATTTGGCTATGGGCCCTGGTCTAAAGTAGTGCACTAGATAGGGAATAGGGTGCCATTTGGCTATGGGCCCTGGTCTAAAGTAGTGTACTACATAGGGAATAGGGTGCCATTTGGCTATGGGCCCTGGTCTAAAGTAGTGCACTAGATAGGGAATAGGGTGCCATTTGGCTATGGGCTCTGGTCTAAAGTAGTGCACTAGATAGGGAATAGGGTGCCATTTGTCTATGGGCCCTGGTCTAAAGTAGTGCACTACATAGGGAATAGGGTGCCATTTGGCTATGGGCCCTGGTCTAAAGTAGTGCACTAGATAGGGAATAGGGTGCCATTTGGCTATGGGCTCTGGTCTAAAGTAGTGCACTAGATAGGGAATAGGGTGCCATTTGGCTATGGGCCCTGGTCTAAAGTAGTGCACTAGATAGGGAATAGGGTGCCATTTGGCTATGGGCCCTGGTCTAAAGTAGTGCACTAGATAGGGAATAGGGTACCATTTGGCCATTTGGTTTCCCCAATGGCATAGAGCTAAGCTGTTGTGACACAATACAAGGCGATAGAGCCAGGTCGAAGTCCCAGAGAGATTACAGGACCTGTTCAGGTTCAGACAATATCAAGACTTCATCCCCAATGGCACCCTATTCTAAATGTAGTGCACTACTTTAGATCAGAGCCCTTAGTGCACTATGCAAGAAATAGGGTGCCATTTGGCACACAAACCAAGACTTATTGTTCTTGAAGGGGTTTTTGTTTTGTGTATCTAATCATTGATTCACCTTGTGGGAGTTGTTTGTCAGGCGTGGAGGAGTCACCTCTTGGTCATATTAGGGATAATTATTTAAACCAAGAAGAGGACAGAAGGGAGAGGGGTCCAGGATACTACAAGGTAATTTCATTGACTACATGCTTCTATAGTAGACTTCATTCACTGCATTTTACTGTGTACAATGTCATATGGACAGTGTCACAACTACAATATGATTTCTACAATATGATTTCAAATTCAAGGTAAAACAATTAATATAGATTGGATGTGTTTCTTTGGGACAAGGCATGTCAGACATTTTCTTTCATTCTAAGTGCAAATGTACTCTGTGAAAGTGCTTATAGTAATCAGATAATATCCACTGCTACACAACTGTAATAATCAGATAATATCCACTGCTACACAACTGTAATAATCAGATAATATCCACTGCTACACAACTGTAGCCTATATTTAGCTTCATTTCCAGGTGCAGGACTGTTAGGAAAATGTGCCAACATGATCCGATAAGAATAGCTTGTTAATGGTGCTTCCCTGCTGGCCACAACTTTGTTCAAGGCCTTTGTGCAATTATTTTTATTATTTTTTTATCGGCTTCCGTTATGGGAAATTGTTTTGGTAATTAATAAAACTGTAGGCTAGCATTATAACTTATAAAATAACAAACTTTCCTCACATCTTTACCTTTCCACCACGATAAAATGTTTGCTCTATTCTCTTCCAAATTTGAGGCGCGCGCGGACCAATTTCATTTCACCCGCTTTTACTGATAATACTATTCTGTATTTACTCAGACCTTTTTTGGGGTGAGATAATGGGATAATTTGTTAACGTTTGAATTTGTCGCACATGCGCAGATGCTGTACTGCTGAGGAGAATATGCGCATCACCATTTAATGAGGATGTAGCTCAGTTGGTAGAGCATAGCGTTTGCAACGCCAGGGGTTGTGGGTTCGATTCCCACGGGGGGGCAGTATGAAAAATAAATAATGTATGCACTCACTAACTGTAAGTCGCTCTGGATAAGAGTATGTAAAAAAAATGTATGCGCATCACCATTTAATGATTTCCACTTTTTAATTAATGCAGGGCAGGCTTACTACAATTGAGATTATGATTCCATATCATCAAAAAGCAATCAAATTGCAACATGTTACTAAATAATAATAATGGCGCCGGAGAAGATGGCTGCCGTTCTACAGCCCTCTAACCAATTGTACTATTATGTGTGTTTTTCCGCGTTATTTGTAATTTATTTTGTACATAATGTTTCTGCCATCGTCTCTTATAACCAAAAAGAGCTTCTGGATATCAGGACAGCGATTACTCACCTCGTATTGGACGAATAATTTTTATTCAACGAGGCGGCAGCGAAGGATATCCTACAGACACCCGACAAGGCCCAAATCCCCGTCATTCGCATGAGGAAGAGACGGAGATATCGTGGACGTAGGTCGGGGTGCCTTGTAAGGATCCGACGGTGGCTTCATCAATAAGTGCATCGATGATGTCGTCCCCACAGTGACCGTACATACATACCCCAACCAGAAGCCATGGATTACAGGCAACATCCGCACTGAGCTAAAGGGTAGAGCTGCCGCTTTCAAGGAGCGGGACTCTAACCCAGACGCTTATAAGAAATCCTGCTATGCCCTCCGACGAACCATCAAACAGGCAAAGAGTCAATACAGGACTAAGATTGAATCATACTTCACCGGCTCTGACGCTCGTCGGATGTGGCAGGGCTTGAAAACTATTACAGACTACAAAGGGAAGCACAGCCGTGAGCTGCCCAGTGACACAAGACTTCCAGACGAGCTAAACCACTTCTATGCTCGCTTCGAGACAAGCAACACTGAAGCATAAATGAGAGCACCAGCTGTTCCGGATGACTGTGTGATCACGCTCTCTGTAGCCGATGTGAGTAAGACTTTTAAGCAGGTCAACATTCACGAAGGCCGCAGGGCCAGACGGATTACCAGGACGTGTACTCCGAGCATGTGCTGACCAACTGGCAAGTGTCTTCACTGACATTTTCAACATGTCCCTGACTGAGTTTGTAATACCAACATGTTTCAAACAGACCACCATAGTCCCCGTGCCAAGGACTCTAAGATAACCTGCCTAAATGACTACCGACCCGTAGCACTGACGTCTGTAGCCATGAAGTGCTTTGAAAGACTGGTCATGGCTCACATCAACACCATTATCCCAGAAACCCTAGACCCACTCCAATTTGCATACCGCCCCAACAGATCCACAGATGATGCAATCTCTATTGCACTCCACACTGCCCTTTCCCACCTGGACAAAAGGAACACCTATGTGAGAATGCTATTCATTGACTACAGCTCAGCATTCAACACCATAGTGCCCTCAAAGCTCATCACTAAGATAAGGATCCTGGGACTAAACACCTCCCTCTGCAACTGGATCCTGGACTTCCTGACGGGCCACCCCCAGGTGGTAAGGGTAGGTAACAACACATCTGCCACACTGTTCCTCAACACGGGGGCCCTTCAGAGGTGCGTGCTCAGTCCCCTCCTGTACTCCCTGTTCACCCATGACTGCATGGCCAGGCACGACACCAACACCATCATTAAGTTTGCCGATGACACAACAGTGGTAGGCCTGATCACCGACAACTATGAGACAGCCTATAGGGAGGAGGTCAGAGACCTGGCCGTGTGGTGCCAGGATAACAACATCTCCCTCAACGTGACCAAGACAAAGGAGATGATTGTGGACTACAGGAAAAAAAAAAGAGGACTGAGCACGCCCCCATTCTCATCGACGGGGCTGTAGTGGAACAGGTTGAGAGCTTCAAGTTCCATCACCAACGAACTATCATGGTCCAAACACACCAAGACAGTCGTGAAGAGGGCACAACAAAGCCTATTCCCCCTCAGGAGACTGAAAAGATTTGGCATGAGTCCTCAGATCCTCAAAAAATTCTACAGTTGCACCATCGAGAGCATCCTGACCGGTTGCATCACCGCCTGGTATGGCAACTGCTTGGCCTCCGACCGCAAGGCACTACAGAGGGTAGTGTGTACGGCCCAGTACATCACTGGGGCCAAGCTTCCTGCCATCCAGGACCTCTATACCAGGCGGTGTCAGAGGAAGGCCCTCAAAATTGTCAAAGACTCCAGCCACCCTAGTCATAGACTGTTCTCTCTGCTACCGCACGGCAAGCGGTACCGGAGTGCCAAGTCTAGGTCCAAAAGACTTCTCAACAGCTTCTACCCCCAAGCCATAAGACTCAACAGCTAATCATGGCTACCCGGACTATTTGCACTGCCCCCCCACCCCATCTTTTTACGCTGCTGCTACTCTGTTAATTATTTATGCATAGTCACTTTAACTCTACCCACATGTACATATTACTTCAACTACCTCAACTAGCCGGTGCCCCCGCACATTGACTCTGCACCGGTACCCCCCTGTATATATAGCCTCCCTACTGTTATTTTATTTTACTTCTGCTCTTTTTTTCTCAACACTTTTTTGTTTTATTCTACTTTTTTATTAAAAATAAATGCATTGTTGGTTAAGGGCTGTAAGTAAGCATTTCACTGTAATGTCTGCACCTGTTGTATTCGGCGCATGTGGCCAATAACATTTGATTAGATTTGATTTGATTTGTGTGGGAGAGAGGGATTCATGTGAAAGCCTGGGTCCTATTCCACACTGGGTTCCCTCACCTGTGTCCCGGCATGTGAGACAGACAGGCGGCAAGCTGAAAGAGCCATTGTTGCAGGAGGAGAGAGAGATCTGAGATCAAACCACTGGAAACATCAAAGGCTTTGGAAGTTGGTGTCTTTATCAAACATAACAAACATAATCCAGAACAGAGGGAGCAAGAAGCGAACTCAGGTCTCTGGCATGAAAATCAAACACCTTACGCCAATAGGGTTAACCCACTTGGCGGGAATTGTAATGTGGCTCATATAGCGAGGATTGCTACACTATATTAAGAGAAGAGAGAGAGATGGCCTTTGATAATGAAACCATTTCTCTGTTGTCCTTACTGTACAAGTGTTTATAATTATTTAAAAAACGGGTTCAATTTAGTTTTCACTATTCTGCAAAGGTCAATACCCTGACCATCTTATTTATAATAACAAAATCTATAGTGAGATAAGCCTACATCTGAATAGCAATTTTATGTTAACAATAAATGATGGCGTTACAAAATACTTAATATTTTCTTTAGAGCGCTTATCCAATTCAACTCTGAACTTGTGTCTGTTTTAATAAGAGGATAGCTGTCCCTGTCACCTGTCTCATCCACAATGAAAAGCTCTGCTGTGTTAAACTGTGTGTCCATTTGGCACCATGGAGACTGAGGCGGAGGTAAGGGTTCCCCAGAGACCCAGAGCAGGGGCCCTGACTGAGTGATTCCCCAGAGACCCAGAGCAGGGGCCCTGACTGAGTGGTTCCCCAGAGACCCAGAGCAGGGGCCCTGACTGAGTGGTTCCCCAGAGACCCAGAGCAGGGGCCCTGACTGAGTGGTTCCCCAGAGACCCAGAGCAGGGGCCCTGACTGAGTGATTCCCCAGAGACCCCAGAGCAGGGGGCCCTGACTGAGTGGTTCCCCAGAGACCCAGAGCAGTGGGCCCTGACTGAGTGGTTCACCCAGAGACCCAGAGCAGGGGGCCCTTACTGAGTTGAGTGATTCCCCAGAGACACAGAGCAGGGCCCTGGACTGAGTGGTTCACCCAGAGACCCAGAGCAGGGCCCTGGACTGAGTGGTTCCCCAAGAGACACCAGAGCAGACGGGCCCGACTGAGGGGTTCCCCAGAACCCAGAGCGGGGCCCTGCTGAGGGGTTTTCCCCAAAAGACCCAAGCAGGGGCCCTGACGAGTGATTCCCCAAGCCCCCAAGGGGGGGGCCCCTGATGAGGGGTTCCCCCCCCAGAAACCCGAGCGGGGGCCCTGACTGATTGGTTCCCCAGAGACCCAGACAGGGCCCGGACTGAGGGGTTTCCCCCAGAGCCCCCCAAGCAAACCCCCGGACTGAGGGGTTTCCCCAAAGCCCCCGAGCGGGGGCCCTGACTGAGTGGTTCCCCAGAACCCAGAGCGGGGGCCCCCTAACTGAGGGGTTTCCCCCCCAAGACCCGACAGGGCCCTGACTAAAGTGGTTTCCCCAGAGACCCGAGCAGGGCCCTGACTAGTGTTTCCCCGAGCCCCCCGGGGGCGGGGGCCCTGACTGAGTGGTTCCCCCAAACCCCAGACCCAGGGCCCTGATTTGAGGGGTTTTCCCCAGAGCCCCCAGAGCAGGGGGCCCTGACGGAGGGGTTTCCCCCAGAGCCCCCAGAGCGGGGGCCCTAAACGATGGTTCCCCCCCCAGAGACCCCGGGTTGGGGGGGGGGCCCTGACTAGGGGTTTCCCCAGAAAACCCAAAACAGGGGCCCTGCCTGTTTTGGTTCCCCAAACCCAGAGCGGGGGCCCTGACTGGGGTTTTTCCCCAGAAAACCCAGAGCAGGGGGGCCCCTGCCCTGAGGGGGCCCCCCCCAGAGACCCAGGGGGGGGCCCTGACTGGGGGTTTCCCCCCGAGCCCCCAAAAGGCGGGGGCCCTCTGAGGGGTTTCCCCCCAAAACCCAAAGCGGGGGCCCTGACGAGTTTTCCCCCCCAGAAAACCCAAAAGCAGGGGCCCGATTTTAAAAAAAAGGGGTTTTCCCCCAGAGACCCAGACCCGGGGGCCCTGACTGGTGGCCCCCCCCAAGCCCCAAAAAGGGGGGCCCCTGCTGAGTGATTTTTGGGTTGGATATAAAGGGCCTTTTTAAGCCAGCATCAATCTAGCCTGGAAGCCACGCTGGTACCAATCTAGCCTGGAAACCACGCTGGTACCAATCTAGCCTGGAAGCCACGCTGGTACAAAGGGTTGGGCTCTAGTGGACTTGGAGGCAGTCAATTCAGGAAACGATTTCAATTTAAAATTCGGAAAAACTTTCTTAAGAAGTCATTGAAAATAAATGCCCTTTTATTAAATGATTGAATTGTAATTTGCGTTTTACTTCCTGAATTGACTATTTGAATTGAGCCCAACCCTTGTTGATACAATAGTGGAATGGTGTCTATCGGTTTGAATCCAGGCTAGAAACAGCAGCACAGGGTCCCTTTAAATCAGATTCCCTCTTATGGATAAAGACTGGATCCTATTTATTAGTATTGTGCCAAATAGGCTTCAGAGTTATTTAACAGGGTGGCTTCTTCCCTGCTGTGAAGGGATATCCCCTAATCACTTCTAGAAAAAAACCTGTAGGCTTATTATGGGGGGGGTTCTCCATTTCATTAGAACTGGTCTCTTGTGATAGATTGTTAACATACATGTAGTTGCTGGCCAGGGCATGTATTTGGATTTGGATTTATTATGGATCCCAGCTACTCTTCCTGGGGTCCAGCAACATTAAGGCAGTTCTACATTTTAAAAACATTACAATACATTCAGATTTCACAACAGAGATTGACATGCATATTATTAATGTTAGCTCTCTGTGTACATCCAAGGGCCAGCCGTGCTGCCCTGTTCTGAGCCAACAGCAATTTTCCTAAGTCCCTCTTTGTGGCACCTGACCACACGACTGAACAGTAGTCCAGGTGTGACAAAACTAGGGCCTGTAGGACCTGCCTTGTTGATAGTGTTGTTAAGAAGGTAGAGCAGCGCTTTATTATGGACAGACTTCTCCCCATCTTAGCTACTGTTGTATCAACATGTTTTGACCATGAAGGTTTAATATCCAGGGTTACTCCAAGCAGTTTAGTCACCCCAATTTGCTGTTGAGATTACTGTTGTAGGTTACTGTTGAGATTACTGTTGTAGGTTACTGTTGAGATTACTGTTGTAGGTTACTGTTGAGATTACTGTTGTAGGTTACTGTTGAGATTACTGTTGTAGGTTACTGTTGAGATTACTGTTGTAGGTTACTGTTGAGATTACTGCTGTAGGTTACTGTTGAGATTACTGCTGTAGGTTACTGTTGAGATTACTGTTGTAGGTTACTGTTGAGATTACTGTTGTAGGTTACTGTTGAGATTACTGTTGTAGGTTACTGTTCAGATTACTGTTGTAGGTTACTGTTGAGATTACTGTTGTAGGTGACTGTTGAGATTACTGTTGTAGGTTACTGTTCAGATTACTGCTGTAGGTTACTGTTGAGATTACTGTTGTAGGTTACTGTTCAGATTACTGTTGTAGGTTACTGTTGAGATTACTGTTGTAGGTGACTGTTGAGATTACTGTTGTAGGTTACTGTTCAGATTACTGTTGTAGGTTACTGTTGAGATTACTGCTGTAGGTTACTATTGACATTACTGTTGTAGGTTACTGTTGAGATTACTGCTGTAGGTTACTGTTGAGATTACTGTTGTAGGTTACTGTTCAGATTACTGTTGTAGGTTACTGTTGAGATTACTGCTGTAGGTTACTGTTAAGATTGCTGTTGTAGGTTACTGTTGAGATTACTGCTGTAGATTACTGTTGAGATTACTGTTGTAGGTTACTGTTGAGATTACTGTTGTAGGTTACTGTTGAGATTACTGCTGTAGGTTACTGTTCAGATTACTGTTGTAGGTTACTGTTGAGATTACTGCTGTAGGTTACTGTTCAGATTACTGTTGTAGGTTACTGTTGAGATTACTGTTGTAGGTTACTGTTGAGATTACTGTTGTAGGTTACTGTTGAGATTACTGTTGTAGGTTACTGTTGACATTACTGGTTGTAGGTTACTGTTCAGATTACTGTTGTAGGTTACTGTTCAGATACTGCTGTAGGTTTACTGTTGAGATTACTGTTGTAGGTTACTGTTGAGATTACTGCTGTATGTTACTGTTGAGATTACTGCTGTAGGTTACTGTTGAGATTACTTGTATACATTATTGTCTCAGAGTATCTGAAATGTATATTAGTTGTGTCATGTTGTTATATAACCTACAACAGTTCTGATTCCGCTAACAGAGGTTTGTTAGCTTTCCAGATAAAATATATGCCATTTAGCAGACACTTTTATCTTTAAAACTTAATTTTTTATTTAACCTTTATTTAACTATCCGAGCCATGCTCTACCAACTGAGCAACAGAGGACCACAGATGACTGGAGATTTAGGCTAAGTCATAATGTTCATGTTTGGATTGTTAAAAAAGGATTTGTCAGTGATAAGTAATCCAATCACCTTTATTTTGTCAAGGATCATGTCTCTGTCTCTGGTGCTTTCTTTCAAAGAACCTGTTGAAATTACTAGCAGCTACACACACACACACACACACAACACACACACAAACACACACACACACACACACACACCACACACACACACACACACACACCACACACACACACACACACACACACACACACGCACTAAACTACAGCAAGTCTGGCTGATCAGCCACATCACTCTGAGCATTCCAGCTTCAAGCTTTTGTTCGCGACCTATGCAGGCCCGCTTATTCTTGTATGGCTAAGACCTATAGAAGGCATCTGGCTTGCTAATAGCCTATAGTCCATTTTATGCCCTTCTAAGTAGTGCATACTAGGGAATAGGTCCATTGGCTATGCTTTGTCAAAGTAGTCATACTAGGAATGGGTGCTTTGTTTTCAAATAGTCACTAATGACATAGATGGGACCTCTACTGGTTAGCATTAGACTAGGGCTTGTCTCAAATCTTATCATAATCACGGAACATACATCGAGGACACACTGAACCGGGAGTAGTGCAACAACCAACTGACACTACGCTCAACCACACACACACGACACACACAGCGGACAATACAGCGGACACACACACACAACACCAGCGGACACACACACACACACACACGGACACACACACAGCGGACACCACACACACACAGCGGACACACACAGCGACACACACAGCACACACACGCGGACACACACAGCGGACCACACACACAGCGGACACACACAGCGGACACAACAGCGGACACAGCGACATCGGACACACACAGCGGACACCACGGGACAGCGACACACACACACACACAGCGGACAACACAGCGGACACACACACACACAGCGGACACAACACAGCGACACACACAGCGGACACACACAGCGGACACACAACAGCGACAACAGCGGAACACAGGCACACACCACACACACAACAGCAACACACACACACAGCGAACACACAACACACGCGGACACAAACAGCGGACACAACACACGCAGGACACACCACAGCGGACACACAAGCGACACACAGCGGACACACACAGCACACACACACACACACAGCGGACACACACACGGACACACACAGCGACACACAGCGGACACACACAGCGGACACACAGCGGACACACACAGCGGACACACACACAGCGGACACACACAGCGGACACACACACACACACACACAGCGGACACACACAGCGGACACAACGCGGAACACACAGCGGACAACACCAGCGGGACACCAGCGGACACACACAGCGGACACACACACAGCGGACACACACAGCGACACACACACACACACACAGCGGACACGACCCAGCGGACACACTGGACCACACAGCGGACACACACAGCGGACCACACAGCGGACCCACAGCGGACACACAACCGCGGACACACACAGCGGACACACACACACACACACAGCGGCACACAAGGGACACACACAGGCACACAACACAGCGGACACACACAGCGGACACCAGGAACACACGCGGACACACACAGGGACACACACAGCGGACACCAGCGGACACAGCGGTCACAACACAGCGGACACTACACAGCGGACACAAGCGGCACAGCACCGCACACACAGCACCACACAGCGGACACAACGACAGCGGACACACACGCGGACACACACAGCGGTACACAGCGGACACACAAACACACAGCGGACACACCACAGCGGACACACACAGCGGACACACACACACGGGACACACAGCGCACACACACAGCGGAACACACACAGCGGACACACACAGCGGACACACACACACACACAGCGGACACACACAGCGGACACACACAGCGGACACACACAGCGGACACACACACACACACACACACACAGCGGACACACACAGCGGACACACACAGCGGACACACACAGCGGACACACACAGCGGACACACACAGCGGACACACACAGCGGACACACACACGCGACACACACAGCGGACACACAGCGGACACACACAGCGGACACACACAGCGGACACACACAGCGGACACACACACCAACACAGCGGACACACACAGCGGAACACACACACAGCGGACACACACAGCGGACACACACAGCGGACACACACAGCGGACACACACAGGAGGTAGGTAACTGGCCTCTAAGTGTTACACAAACTCCAACTCCAGTACCCAACCGTGGATAGCTCCTTCTGGCACTGGTTCAGAATCAAACACGCTGTTCTACATATTCCATTCAACATTTTCTATCACACCCTGGCTGTGTTCATTCGGCACCAAATGGAAGAAAATGAACTGAAACACGGAGGGACTAACTGAACATTATTCCAATAAGAATATAAGAACTGATTGTCCAATAAGAACTGATTTTTGTTTTCTGTTGCATGCCTAGTGAACACGACCAATGGCAGTGTTGCTGTGTTGTCTTGTCTTGTCTTGTTGTCATGGCAGTGTTGCTGTGTTGTCTTGTCTTGTCTTGTTGTCATGGCAGTGTTGCTGTGTTGTCTTGTCTTGTCTTGTTGACATGGCAGTGTTGCTGTGTTGTCTTGTCTTGTATTGTTGTCATGGCAGTGTTGCTGTGTTGTCTTGTCTTGTTGTCATGGCAGTGTTGCTGTGTTGTCTTGTCTTGTTGTCATGGCAGTGTTGCTGTGTTGTCTTGTCTTGTATTGTTGTCATGGCAGTGTTGCTGTGTTGTCTTGTCTTGTTGTCATGGCAGTGTTGCTGTGCTGTCTTGTCTTGTTGTCATGGAAGTGTTGCTGTGTTGTCTTGTCTTGTCTTGTTGTCATGGCAGTGTTGCTGTGTTGTCTTGTCTTGTCTTGTTGTCATGGCAGTGTTGCTGTGTTGTCTTGTCTTGTTGTCATGGCAGTGTTGCTGTGTTGTCTTGTCTTGTTGTCATGGCAGTGTTTGTGCTTGTTGTTGGGGTCGTTGTCTTGTCTTGTTGTCATGGCAGTGTTGCTGTGTTGTCTTGTCTTGTTGTCATGGCAGTGTTGCTGTGTTGTCTTGTCTTGTTGTCATGCGGGCGTGTTCTGTGTTGGCTGTGTTGTCTTGTCTTGTTGTCATGGCAGTGTTGCTGTGTTGTCTTGTCTTG